TTGCCATTTTATATACATGGTACCATTTTACCCACCGTAGAACACATAAAGCTAAATAACAAAAGTAAAGCCTGCAACAAGTCCAGTTGAATGCAACTATAACTACTACTATCTATACTATGAGCTGGAACAAATAGAACTTTCACAAACACTTACCAAAAGGGGTTTTACTGTACTTAACCTTTCATCTAAATTATTCCATGGAAAAAAAAGAATTATGGGGCTTAACCAATCATTTGTGGTGTATTGATACTTCATGTTCGACATAGCTAGGGATGTGGCAGGGCTGTCTCCCTTGCCTACATACTTTGTACTAAAGGTGTCTCTCTTTCTCATCTCAGAAAATGGGGAAGTATGGGAATGTGAACTCTTATTATGGAGGCGTGGTAGTGGTTGATGATGTTAGTCTGACATTAGTAACCACATCTACCTCATTGCAGCTAGTCCACCATCTGTTATAAAAAGTGCTCCTGAGTCTCACACAGCTAATTAACACATATTTAATGCCTGTGTTGATGTGCTTTTGTTCTCTTCAAACTGCCTCTCTCCACATACACGTGTACGGGAATGCAAAAGCAGCCAAAGTAGGTCTAGTGCAGGTCAACTGCATTCACAATGAGTTCTGGATTCAATGATTTAATGATCCCTGAAGCATCTCAAACTGATGTCAAAAGCACGCTGCATTTGCCCACTGAAGCTCGTGAACAAAGGCCCTAATTTACAGATTTGGCTATTGTGTGTGCTGTGCGGGACTCATCTACACAGCAGAGAGGACCAGCAGCACAGTAAGTAACAGTCTGTCACACAGAGCTTCTGGGCAGCAGGTCTGGGAAGGCATTTCCTTCTAGTGCCTACCCATGGTGCTGGATCATTAGGTAAACTTTACTCAAGTAACTTAAAAACTGCAGTCTTGTATAGTGCACTGCAGCCAGATTGTAAGCTTCTCTGGTGTCAGTCCTGACTTGAATGGTTTCTCAAAGCATGACAAGACACACACAGATGTGTGTCTGGTTTAGAAATCCAGCAGCATATAGTGCAAGTACAACTGTGTGAACGGCAAACAATGAAAATATAAACTGATAAGATAGGATAATAGTTTTAATATGATAACCATTGTGTTTCAGTTATTGAGACTTAAAGTGGACCTTTACCCCCTTTCACGAAAAATCACATCAGCATGCAACTCTGCATGTTCATTTAAAAACATCTTATATTCATGAGTTAAACAAACATATTTTTAATTTACTTACAAATAGATTTAATCCACTTCCTGGTCCACTTCTAGTGCAACTGATGTAATGTGCCAAAGTATTGCATCCTGGGAAAGGTACATCAGCAGAGCATTACTGGGAAATATCATCTGTAATCTCATGAGATCTCAGTGAAAGGCATTTCCTACCCTGATGATGTGCATGGTCGCATGTCCTAGTCACATGTGCCAGAGTTCCAGGAAGTAAAGGGAAATATAGTAATCTGCCCTTAGTTAAAATGGCCAATGAGAGAAGACTTGGGGAAGTAAAGAAAAACCAGGTATGCAAAGAATACAAAGCCTGCAATGATCTAGAAGTATGTGTTTGTAGATTCTCATTACTGTCTTTGTTGTTATTTTAAAGATAGGGGTAAAGTTCCTCTTTAAGGAGTTGAAATTGTTCACACAATAAATTGTGCAAATGTTTACTTCAATTATCCAATCATGTGCAGATGAAACACGTAAATGGATTTTTGTTACTCATGATTGGATAATTTAAGTGCATCGTCACACTATTTACAATTTGAACATTATCAAATCCTTTGGTCAGCTAAATCAGCTGCATTCTGTCAATTTTCAGTCTTTTCTTTTTTTGTTTCAGTATTCAGAAGTACTGACAAAATTTATATTTATCCGTTTAAATATACATACTTTGGAAAGAGCCCACCTGAAAAAAACACGCCTGCCTGTCAGGAACACTTGAACACCTCTGTGTGGCTGATTCATGAAGACTCAGCAAAAAATAGGCATGGTTGGCCATGGCAAGGTTTTAGATTTCCAATAGTTTGTGTAAGAAAATCACATACTGGCTCAAAGAGTTTTCTCTTGGCTACACCTTCAGTTACCTTTCTTCTATTTCAATAATTCAGTCCCTTCTGAGCATCAAACTCATTCCAAATGCATTGTTTACTAAATTTAGATATATAATGCAGGCCCTTTCCACTGCCAGTTATATCAGAGTAGACATCAAATATGCCGCACTTAAAAGCTCAAAGCCTTAAAGCCAGCCTTTGTGTTGAACACAGCCATACCTTCCAACCAGTGGTGTATCCAGGGTATGGCACATGCCCTGGGTGCCATTTGAAGTTGTGGGTGCCACTCAGTGGGTCAGTGAAATTTTGCTGACCCATGGAGACAGCAGACTGCAGCTGTCATTATTAAATGTTTTGCTTCACTCCCCACCCCTCTCTCCCAGGTTGTTAAGAGCTGGGTAGGCCATACACATTTCCCCACCCAGCTCTCTGCAACATGAGACTCTGTGGCCGGTGTCACTGGTTGCCAGGAGCTGGGCAGACCCTGGTCAGAGTGTCCCAGGTTGGTAAGAGCCAGGCCACAGCCGCGGTGTCTTTGAATAGAGCTGTCCATGGTTGGAGTCATGGAGGATATGCGTCTATTATCATGCACTCATTTGTATTAACAAGCAAATCCTATGTGTGTAAATCCACAAACTACAGCATATATACAAGGATCATCCAGTGAATAGACTTACATCAGAGTCCCCAGAGCCGCTTACAGATACGGATGCTGTCACCCGGTCATTAATTCTGGGGATGTTAGAAGGGACTCTGGGGACTCTGATGCATGGGCGGGGGGGGCTCTTATGTAAGGAGGGACTCTGATGTAGGGGGGATCTGGGGGCTCTGATGTAAGGAGGAGCTCTGGGGACTCTGATGATAGAAGGGACTCTGGGGGCTCTGATTTAAGAGGGGACTCTGATAAAAAAAGGGGGTGATCTTGCTCTGCTGAGGTGTAGAAAGGGAAGAAACTGAAAAAATTACTTTGATCACATCATAAACCAATTAGCATCAATAAAAGCAGGAAAGGTGAAGTTATAATTTGTATGTAGTGCCATCATTTGTTAATAAAAAGTTAACAAATGTGACTTGCATTTTTGATTTTTTTATCTAAAATATAAGTGTCGGATTTTGGAAATGGGCGCCTGCCGTAGGCACTATTTTCTGTAAATATGCATTTTCTTCAAGCATACAAACCTGAAAGCTCAACTCCATTGACTGGCTTCCTAACAACTGAATAGCTGGTTTTATCATAAAGTGTAAGAAAGACGAAATAGCCTGCCTTACTGTAGACAACACAATTTCTTTCTCTCTACACTTTTTTTAAATCAAAAATGATGTTCATTAAGACACTTTTATACAGAAAGCCCTTGGTCCCTCAGAGCATGCTTTTAGATACGAATGGCATATTCCATACGTGGTTTTAGCGGCACACCATGTCACTGGAAACTTTTTAATGGGTGCTAATAGTATTCAGCTGGGAGCTGTCCAGAGTGCTGAAAGAGCCTGCGGGTTTCTCCTGTCTGACGCCAGCCTCATTATAGTATATTGCTGTTATTCCAGGCTGCCAGAATCCACAGCTGAATGCCTTCTAGCAGTGAGGATATTCACTTTAGCACATATCCTTCTCAAGGGATTGTGTCTTTGGATAGTAGTGACCAATGTTGCTGATGGAAGAATCATGACAGTTTTGTTTTATTTAAAACTTTAAATTAAATTAAACTGGCCATAGAGATGACTGAATAGTCAGACATAATCCAACCATCTTAAGATGCACTTTGGGTCAGCTTCTGCTCATAACCTGTCCAACTACTTTGTCCCCCAAGACTGTTCTCATAATGGCATGAATGTATACAAGTTGCAAGTTAAACTTGGAAAGTCCATTTCGGATATGAATGTTTTATGACAATTTAAAATGCATCTAATGCCAAAATTTTTTAGCTTTAGACAGAGTAAGGAAAAGTTAAAACCTCTGTCAGGTTATTTTTTCTTTCTGTGTCCCAATAGGTAGATTTCCCCCCATTTCCTGTCTCAGATACAACAGGAAGGAAGAGGGAATCTTTTCAAGATCCTTTTTGACAGTTATCCCCAGAAAGGGTAGGGGGCGGGCACAGCTTACTCTGTCTCTAGATAGGCAGAGCCCGCTGTCACTTACGCAGCTGGGTGGATAACAACAGTATTGTCGGGATCCGTCCCGGCTGCGGCGCTTTCAGTATATCGCGGGCAATAGCCCGCGATATACTGAGCATTGAGTCACGGGAGGAGGTTAGTATATATGTTCTCCTGTGACCCTAAAGAGAACTATGGGGAAAAACACTTACCCCATAGTTATCTTTTAAGCGTTTGTTGAATTCTCTCCTTTGTTTTATATGGGGTTATAGGATGTGTTTATTAGCACAAAATTGGAATACGCATAAGCTTACGTCATCATCAGTCATTTGCATCATAATAAAATATTTATTTATTCAATTTATTGTCTTGCTCAGTTTAGTATATTATTGATAGATTGTCAATGTGCTGTAATCTTTTTAGTATTTTTATATACAACAATATGAGCCTTTTATCATTATTGGAATCAAAAACTATCCATTTATGTTTCCTTCTCCCATATTCCATCCATTTTTACGGCTGTTAAGATTAGGTTTCCTTTCACAAACCTGACTACATAGAGTCACGGGCTGAATATCATGGCCAATTATGAGAAGTGTTCTATTTTCAGCATTCTCATACTTATCAGCCCATTCAATTTTCATCCTCAGTTCCTAATGTAGTTCACTAAGCTACAATACGTAATAACTACAGGACCCACAATTTCCCACAGCTTATATTTGAAAAGAACTTGGCATCTTTATATCATCTCTGTCAAGGACCTACTAGTCAAAAGTGTAATAAATGTGGATACCCGCCATATCTTGTTTTAGATTCTTTTTTAATAATGATCTATTTACTGTTTACAGAGAGAGCGCGAGATTACCTACACAAGACTGGAAAATATATTGTAATTGGAGGAATTATCTCTCCCGTGCATGACTCATATGGCAAGCAGGTACAGTCTACTTTTATTTCTGTTCCAAAAATATACAACTAGTGTCATCTGGAATACTTGGGATTTTAATAGTATCAATCTGTTTCCATCATTTGCACCACTTTGCTGAACTGTAAAATAATATACATTTATTATATTATTATTAAAATAATAATATAATATAAAATACTAAAAATATAAGTTATATCTGTTTTCCCCCACAGGGAATTAAAGTGATAATGTCAGAAGATGTTTAAGCTATTACAAATGCTGAATAAATCACTTACAATGGATGCTGCTCCTTGATGTTTAAAGGCTTTAGCTTCCTGCAGAATCAGCTGGTCCCCTGAGCACTGGCCCTGATATCCTGTTTTAGGGTGTGCTACTTTCCCTTGCAGGGTCCTATGGGGGCCATCCTTGTGAGTGCTAGTAAGCTATGTGTGTTCCCGCAAACACACAGACAAAGCAAAGCAAGCCTGTCCACTCCTACCTTCTCCAAGCTAGTAGATGGACATCTGCTGGAGACTGCTGTGTGTCCCTTGTGATCCTGTATTTAACAGGATGTAATGGGAAGCTAAGATGAGAGAGTTGGAGCCAGCTGTTTGTAAACATGATGACTGTAGGTGCGTGAGTAAAAATTGAAGTCCACTCCTCCCTTCTCCAAGCTAGTAGATGGACATCTGCTGGAGACTGCTGTGTGCCTTGTGATCCTGTATTTAACAGGGCGTTCAGGGAAGCTAAGATGAGAGAGTTGGAGCCAGCTGTTTGGAAACATGATGACTGTAGTTGCGTGAGTAAAAATTGAAAGGAATACTTTGCTGGGCAATGTACTGTACATTTGTTGGCTCTAGACTCATTATTGAAAAAAAAACTTGAAAGTTTAATACTACTTTAAGCATTCCTAATTTATTAACAAATGCTTTATATAACTTATAGCCGATTTATCAAAGTGTTTGCAGAAGAACAGTATGTTGCTCATTGCGACCAATCAGATAATTCTCTTAATTCTCTCACTGGAAGAATTATAATGAATACCTAGTTTGTTGGTTTGCACCACACAGACTATGCTCACATTAAGGCCAACCGACTTTAGATAATTATGTTTGTTTATCATATTTGTGTGCATAAAATGACTGAACAGCCACAATATGACATTGCATTGGATTGCCTTTATAAATAACAAGTAAACACATAGCCAATGTTACATCCTCCTTAATTTACTTTGAGAATGGACTGTGACCCTTTTCTTTGTTCACTCAGGACAAAGCAACAGGGTCATGTAAATGTCCCCCTTCCCACAGTATATACTCACCTTTTCTTCACTCCTCCGCTCTTCCATCCAGCTGCTGGAAAAGTAGAGAAATATCTGGCTATTTCAAGTATGGAGGAGCTTATGACATATTACCCTTTTTCCAGTTAACAGTGCTGGTGCCTGGTAATCGGCAAAATGCTATCACGGGGGGCTGAGAAGAGTTCTCAGCCCTGTGTAAAGCTCTAACATGCTGTCTTGGTACTAAAGCTGACCATAAATGGCTCAAATGTCGGTAGCTTCAGCAGGAATTCAAGCTCTGGGTGGCCCTGCAAGCTCTATGCGGCTCAGCAAAAGTCGATTGAAATGTCAACTGAACCAGGAGAAAAATTATTGGCTGAACATTGACTGCATCCTATCAGACCATGTGAAAAATGGCCTGGTAATGAAGCCTGACATACAGGCTCAAGTGGTTAAAACATTTTCTGATGATGTTGTCATGAAGGTTCTTCTTCAGCCACTTCCTGTTATAAGGTAACAACTGTCTCTGAGTTGTACTCAAATGCAACACTGAAGAAAACTACAAGCTGCCACGCCAAAGGGCATGCATTGTCCAAGGAAGGTATGTTAACGCACTATGCAAATGCAGGTCAATACACCTACGTTGAGTCACACCCAGCGTATACACATTGCGGTGTGAACGCACCTTTAAACAGTATTTAAAAAAGAGAAACAGACAATTGTTTATTATGATATACAGGGCTTTAGAAAACGAAATGTTGTCCAGTTAGGCTTTAAAATCTACTTGAACTATGGAAGAGGTGAAGGTTTCTAGTTGTCTGAAATGATTGTTTTTACACTCCGAGCTGTAAATTCTCTGTGTAGCCGGGCATTGATCATGGTAAAAATGACCAGCCTATGCCCAGCCTTTGAGAAAAAAGCTAAGCGTGGATTATAAAGTTGAGTTCACTAGTTTTATTTCTTTAATTTAATACTTATCTTTCTAAAAACAGAGAGGAGCCTTCCCATGGAGTTGTATACTTGTTCCAGGACTGATTCAATACAAAAAGTATTGAATTCAGAGACAGCCATGCAATTAACATTTTCATAAAACAGATACCCATATTTATCAAATGGCAGGTGTCCTTTAAAACTGTAGATTCTCCAGGTTATCAGTGGAATATATTTTTGTCTGCTAATTCATCCATCCTAATTCCAGTGTATAGATCTGGTCTCCATATATTTGTATTAAATACAGTAGTTCAGACTGCAGACTCTGTTATGTATTTTATTAAAGCAGCTTTGATCCGTAAATGAGAAATTTGCTCTCATTAACATAACAATTCTTGAGCTTTCATTTCCTCACATAAATGAAATAGAATGGGAATGGTTTGATCGATGCACACCTTGCTTTTTGCAGGTTTTTACCATACAACAATTATGCTGATGCAGTTGACCACATTAAGGAGTCCATCCCCTGAGGAATGATTCAAAGATTCTTTTGTATTGTCGTTTGTTCCTTCTTGCGCTTTTTTTGACTTTCAGACGATGCTTATCTGGCTATGTATAACTTCGCTCATTATTTGAGGCACCAGTCTATCATCCGTCTTCCTTTCACCTCTCAGCTCATTTTAATGTGCTTCCCAGTGAGATCACCCAGTTCACCTCCCTTTCTTCTTTATTATGCTTTTAGCTCTCTTTAATGTGCATCAGTCTTCCTGCTGGATATCGTCAGTGTGCAACTCCACATTGATTATCTTTCATTTCTAATGCTGCACAGTTTCTCCTCTTCAGCTCTTTCTACTCTCGTCTCCTTTTCTATTTGTGTTTAGCATTGTGCTCTGATTTAGTGCTTGCTAGTTATTTACGGATACATTTAATACCAGTGCAAAGAAAAACGTCAGTAACCACTCAAATTACAGGTGTCATCTAAACCCCCTCCTGTGTTATTTTTGTGTGGCTGTGTTGGGAAAATTGGTATTTCAGTGTCTTCAGGAAACCCTTTGGCATTTTTACATTGCAGAGTGGTGTTAGGGAAGCTATGTATATGCCTCATCAGCTGATCTTAGCTGAGATTTGGGGCCTAAAGAATTCTGGAAAGACTACATCTAGTGTTCCCCAGGCGCACTGTCATTGCTGTAACTTCCAAAATGTCTAGCCAAGTGAACGTATGGGGTGAGGCCTGTTTGACTCGAGATGTATAAAGCACTCCTAATTGCTCTTTGACTTATCTGTTACAATTGGACCTGTATTTTAAAAAAAATGAATATTTGCTATCTTATTGGGAACATCTATTGTTTATTGTTCCTAAACATTGCCCTGAAAGGTCTACATTACTGCTTGACTTTCTTCTTACAAATATGAGTACGTTTCCTGTTGCTGTCGGCACATTTAGGCCTTGAACCTCATATCTGTATATATGCAGTGTGAGATCTAAGGTACTTCTGCCTCTGACTGCTAGTCTCATGATATTTCAAGGTAGATTTGATAATGTTGCTGCTGTACTAATAAATGTTTTCCTGAGGGATTGCTGGAGAGAAATCTTCAATGCAAGGATCTCCCTGCTTCTGCCTCATTCATTTTGTGGTTTCTGCATCTGTACTGCTGCTTCTTAAATATTCTCCCACCAGTCATTAGATCTCAACTCATTAGGTGGCAGCTCTGACAGAAGAAGCCAAAGCACTACGTTTACCAAGATGGTTATCTTCCCAAAGAGACACAGTGTAGAACAAGGCATGGTATGTTAGTAAAAAGATCATCTGCAGGGAGCCTGTAGATAATTTCCCCTCGCTTACCTTTTTTTGGTCACAGCTTTCACAGTTCAATTCCTGCGTCCATGTGATTGCTTGCCCACTATTCATCAGAGAGAGAACTATCCTTCAGAGAAAAGTTAGATTACTGTCTCAGATACACCACTGGTGGCATTTGAGTGTTGAAGCATAAAGAAAACCTTTGTTTAACAGCCCTTTCAGGTAGTGTGGAATAGAAAGTGAAAGGGGGCATTGCTGTAGGCAACACAAAAATAAACTATTATATGCAAGTAGTGCCAAAATTCCAAGTGTGCATATCCAAATGCTTGTTTATACTATATCTCCAACATTTCAGATCCATTATCCCTATGAAGGGGAGATTATTTTTTTTAAATGTGAGCATTTTGGGTGGATCCATGCGGGGGTCCTAAATTTGCATTTGATCATTTGGGAGATATGCATGTACTGTATATCTTTAATGTTTGGTATAGCATGTGTTGCATTTAAAGTGCCATAAATCATAAACCAGTAATCATTAACACTCACATTAATTTGATAGAAAATGAAAAAATACTCTCTTACTTATTTGGCCCTTTTCTATTTTGTGGTTTTATGAGTTTGCAAGGGACTGCTAATTTGTTTAGACAACATTACACTAGTTGGAGTCCAGACCTTGGTTGCATTCTGCTTCTTCAATATTATTCCTTCACTTTACTGTTAGCATTCCTCACATTTTGCCTTTGTCTTGACAATCTGTCCTATGTATATTCCCAAACCATTAGAGCTGTGCCATCTCTTATATGTCTTGTAAGGAATCCACGTTGACCGGGATGGAATAATATCTAATATGTGCTTTAAAAATCTTTGTAGGGTAATATATATGTAACAGTTTGACTGGAGATGACCTTGACATTGGCTTAGTATAACCTACTGTTTTCTGCTGTCAGCTTTCCTGTTAGCATGGGAAAGGACTTTTGCTGTGTGATTTACGCAAATTCGAAATGTGCAATATTTCTGATGAGCTGTGGATGCCTGCATGGTATCTTCCTACAGTAGACTTTTCCTTTTGAGGTCTTTTGTAACCCTTTTCAATTGGACCAAAGTTGAAATGAGCAATGGATGCCTGCACGGTAACTTTCTACAACACACTTTTTCTCTGAGGGCCTTTGTAATCTCTTCTGATTGGGCCATATTATTAGGGGTGGTTAAACCCATAGTTTAATTGACTGCAACACATGCCTTTTCAAGATGCCAGACTGCATTACAGAAGAAGAGCTTTTTTTCTTTTGATTTCAACATTCTTACCTGGTGCATAAAAATAAGATGTGGCCTTGAAAAGGGATGTCTGGATAGTGAAGGATTTATTATTTTTGATTGTCTTTTTGATTGTATGTGGGGTTGTTCTGTAATACTCCTGAAGCCTGTCCATATTTGTTATTGTATGTGGAACCACTGCTAGCAGCATAGCGCTCTTGGCCAATGAGTAGTGTGGAGGTGGGAAGAGGGGGGATTAATGAAAGAGTTCAATATGTTTAATTGTTTAATTATCCTTCTGTACATGTGTCTGGCTATAAGAAGGATAGGAACCCCAAAAATAATGTGTATGGGGGCACCAACAACAATGTGTGTTTCGCAGAAAGGATTTTTTGTATTACATTGGAGTTATAATTGTATGATCAGTGTAGAATTATTGGTGGAGCTGTTCTTTTATGATTTGGATGATTATCATGGCTTATCTCTAATGTTCTCTAGGTGCTTAAAGGAGAACTATGAGGTTAGTGCTTTTCACTCACCTCATAGTTCTAGCCGACCTGTGACAATGAGACTGTCACAGGTCGGCTCAGTAGATCGGGAGGTGAGCGAACACATACCGGCATTCGCTCACCTCTCGATCCTGTCACGGCTCTCTGCCGTGACAGGGGAGGGGCTGGATTCCCCCCTCCCCGCTCCGATGCGCCAGCGCTGACTGGCGGAACGGACGGGGGAGGGGGCGGGTACAGCTGGCTCTGCCTCTAGATATGTGAAATGAGGTTGCACAGTAGAGCCCAAAGACCTACAGACATCCAATTACTTATTGGTAGTATAGCCTAACGTCGTTCCTGACCTTGTTGGTCATGTAATGGCATAGTTATGGGTGTGGGCGCTGTGTCATTCCCAGGTGGGGGGGACCTAAGAAGTGGGTTAAATCTGGCAATCTAGTAGGGTGAACATTGGAAGGGGGAAAGGTTGAAGGTTCTTCAATGTATTTTTAGCAACCTAATTTTAAATCTTGTTTTCTTTATAGGGTCTGGTGTCAAGTCGGCATCGCCTCAATATGTGTCAGATGGCTGTGCAGAGCTCAGACTGGATTCGGTGAGAGGGGTCACACCATGAGGGAATTTGGAGCTAGATACGTAGACAGTAGGATGAAGAGAGGTGGTTGTGTTTTGTAGTATATATTTACTGTTACATTTAAGTTCAGTCGCTGCCAGTTTTCTGCAGTGTTTCTTGAGGAATTCCTGGGGATGACAGGTTATCTGTAGGTGCAGCAATTCTGGTGAACATGTTATTTGTAGTGCAGGAGTTCTGGAGAAACAGGTTATTTGTAGGGCAGGGATTCTGGAGAAACAGATTTTCCTGGCTCACCTCATGTCGGCATACTAATGTGTTAACCCCGCCCAGAATCCCAGTAGGACCACCCCTAACTAGAGTATAGATCCCCCCTCTCCCACCTCATACGTGTTCTTTTTTGTCCTCGCTCAGGACACCTATCTAACAGTTTTTTTTTTTTCTTTTTGTTCTCATTTTGAGGAATTTCTTATATGCATGGCCTTCATCCCACCACGGGTTCAGCCTCTTCTCCCGGGTGGAAGATGTCCCGGTATGTGGTAAACCAACAGGATGGGACATGCCTGGTGCTGGGCATTAGGGCCTTAGGTGACCTAAAAGGTTGCAGGCTTAAGGGCGAGGTAAGTCGGACTCATGGAGGGACTGCTTACCGGAGATCTTCCCGGTCTAGCCACTGTATGGCTACCTTTACCGAGCTATGGCAGCAGCAGAGCCGTGGCCACGAGCGTGCGTTACGGCGTGGAGCGCAGTACCCGCCCCTTCTTGCTCCGGATTGGTGGGCGGTAGAGGGGGGCGGGACTGAGTGCGGTCCAGTGTGGAGCGCATGCCTTAAGGCGCTTCCTGACTACGAACAGGTGCTAAATTCAAACAGCTTGCAGCACTATAAATGCAGTGATCCCTTAGAGGGGTATGGCTGCTGCAGTTGTATAGAGATTATATATTGTTAGGATTGCGGTACTGCTGAGATTGTGAGGGTGGTATGATTGTTTTCTTTTTCCTGCTGATGTTTTCTGAGTATTCATAGGGTTTAAAATTTCCCTATTTTGCATGTATTCATTTTTTATTTTATTTTGTGGTTGGGTTTTTTCTTGCTGAAATTTTACTGGATGAGTAAAAGATTGTCTCTGCCAGGAGAGTGTTGGAGCTACAAGCTTTTTCCTGCAAGGAGCCTTATTGCCAGATCTTCACAGACCGGATAGTGTTGCGGCCTGTTCCATCATTCTTGCCAAAGGTCTCCTCGGTGTTCCATTTCAATTGGGAATCAGTCCTCCCGGCCCTGTCAAGTGCAGTCTTCTCGTCTGAGGAGGAGTATCTAGGGAGATTAGATGTGGTCAGCATACTTTCCACTTACTTGCTACGAACGGAGAGTTTTTCGTGCCACGGATCGGCTCTTTGCGATGCCCGGAGGTCCAAGGAAGGGAGCGGCCGCTTCCACGAGAATCTTCTCCACGTTGGTGGTGAGAACAGTCCAGTCTGCTTATAAGGCTTCGGGTCTTCCCCCTCCGCAGGAGATCAGGGCTCATTCAACGAGGTCGCTGGCTACGTCTTGGGCAGCCTACGCTAAGGTTCCGGTAGAGATCGTCTGCAAGGCAGCGAGTTGGTCATCCTCCAATACTTTCATTAGGCATTACAATGTCGATGTGTCTAGAGTGGTGGATTTAGCCTTTGGGGCGTCCGTACTCTCTTCTGCGGCTTCAACAGCTTATTAAAATTATTTTTGGCATGAGTCCCTCCCTGGTAGTTATTGCTAGCTATGTCCCATTAGTATGCCGACATGAGGTGAGCCAGGAATACGGAAAATTGTTATCCAATACTTACCGTAATTTTCCTTTCCTGGCTCTCCTCATTTTGGCATAGCTTCCCTCCCATGCCTTCGCCCAGCGTGCTATTAAACACGTATGAGGTGAGAGAGGGGGGATTTATACTCTAGTTAGGGGTGGTCCTACTGGGATTCTGGGCGGGGTTAACCCATTAGTATGCCGACATGAGGAGAGCCAGGAAAGGAAAATTACGGTAAGTATTGGATAACAATTTTCCGTAATCTTTAGGTCCAGCAATTTGGGAAGAAGACAGGTTATCTCTAGGTTCAGCATTTGTGGAAGAAGATAGGCTATCTGTAGGTACAGGATTCCTGGAGAAGGACTGGTTTTCTAAAGTGCAGGAATTCTGGAGGAAAACTCTTTATCTCTAGGTGCAGGAATTCTGAAGGATGACAGGTAATCTGAAGTGTTAGACTTCTGGAGGAGAACAGGATATCCCTATGTGCAAGAATTCTACACGTAAAGTGATTTACTATAATTACAGGAATTCCAGAGGACAAGAGAAAATTTGTAATTGCATGGTGGAGGCTTACATGTTATTTTGTAATGCAGGGTAGACCCTTGGGAGTGTTACCAAGATACTTGGCAAACAACATGCAGTGTGTTGGAACATCACAGAGACCTCATGAAGGTAAGACATACTCATGATTCTTCAGTACAGCAAAGGTGAGGTTAAAAAAGGCCTCATGTATCATTGTGTTCTTACTTCTCCTGAGTTACCAATCAGATCTCTCTGAAAGGTCTTAATCTGATTAAAAGAGAACTGTGAGGTCAGGGCTTTTCCCCATAGTTCTCCTAAGGGTAACGGGATGACACAAACTAGCATCCTCCCGTCACCCAAAGCTCAGTATACTGCGAGCTACAGCTCGCGGTATACTGAGAAGCTGCAGCCGGGACGGATCCCGACATTACTGTCTGGATCTACCCAGCTGCGTGAGTGACAGCTGGCTCTGCCTATCTAGAGGCAGAGCCAGCTGTACTCACCCCCTCCCCCGGGGTTCCCTGGGTTAACGCATGTTGCACATCTTAATCACTATTTAAACTGCTTTATTGAATAGTTTCACTATTTGTATACACTGAGTGGCCAGATTATTATGATCACCCCATCAGTGCCTTATTGGGCCACGAGATGACGCCACGAGATGACTTTGTTGGGCCGCCTCGTGACTCCACGACATGTTGAAAGGTGATGCGAGGAATCTGACACTACACTGTTGCCCTTCTGTTGTCTTGTACCAGTCTTGCCACTCTCCGTTCTGCCATAACATTGACTAGTCGCTGACAGCCACAGTTCGCACGTTCAGACCCAGATTTTTGGCTGACAGTCCAGTCTTTAAACACTTTAACAACAGCTGCTCACATTTAACAAATTCTGCTTTTTTGCTGATACTCGCTCCATGGCTTGAGCGCCAACAATCATCCCACATTCAAAGGCTGTTAAATCGCGTTGTTTACCCATATCTTCAGAAAAAGATCACTTCTACTGTCGTGGGAAACAACCTGCTTCCCTATTTATAATGGTCTGGCCCTCTAGTAACTTCAGCGCCAAATTATAGCTAATTATAGGTAATTTGCCTACAAACGTCAGGTGGTCATAATAATCTGGCCACTCAGTGTATACCAACTCAAGCTATCAACTCAGGCTGTGGAAGTGCTAATGGGGTTGTGTTGGAACATTAACGAAAATGATGGACGTCATTTGTTTTATAATGTGGGTTGTCTATATACAAATAGAATGTACAATACATTTCTAGTGAATTGTGTCTGTATAACATCAGACATGTCTATTAATGTACTTTATGAACATATAACCTTTATAATATTTTTCAGAGAGTAACTGGCTGTATCTTGTCTAATGTGAACACACCATCTGTCACATCTGTGATTGGACAGTCTCTGAACCAATCAACACAGCCTGTTTATCAGAACAACAATCTTGCCAACAAGCCCACTGCAGGTAAATGCAAGCTACACATTTTCATGCCGGGCCCAATGTACATACTGTAAAGCAAATTTTAAAAACCTGAAACACACAGAGAGACTCAAAAAAATACAGCCTTGCTGTCAAGCATTATGGGGAATCCAGCAACTTACATCCTTGCAGTGCATGTGATTTACTAACCTAAACACACGCACGCACTAGGTGCGTGTGATTTTTACACAGCAAAACATATTTATCAACCAAAAAGTCTCTAAAAGCATATTTCCACTAATGCCATATATGGAAAAATCATGCACATGATGCATATATAATGCTGCTTCACAGTTTAGACAAAAATGGTTAGCTCATGCATTTGCATTCCTGCATTCATCAACGCAAGCACCACAACATAGAGCTAATTTACACAACATCACCTTGTAATTCATGCAGGGCTTTGCACAACACACCTGCTGGGTGCGTACACACTACAATGGTGTTTAGATTCCACCCATAGATCATGCTGGGAGGGAACACACTACAGAGGTGTATACATGTTCGTGGCGTGTTTATAAGGTTAGTAAATCAATCCCTTTGCCTCACAGCTTCTATCTCAAGCTCCTGTTCATGTGGACAAGGTTACAGCTGGCTCAGATAACGGTTGTTGGATGATCCAGGGAAAACAGGGAATACAGTTGCAGGTTCAACTTTAGGGACCTCCAGAAAATCAGATTACGGGCAGCCATAAGGGTGTAGCTAACATGGCACCCAAATGCAGAAGATGAATACCATGATGAAACATAGAGCCAGTTGACTGGTTATGTACCATAAGGTAGATTAAAGTGAATCTATATAGAAAACCTTTTTTTGTGGTTTTGGATAAAGTGGGTAAGGGTTAGACCTTTATCTGGGGAGATTTCTTTATCAGGTTTCTTTATCTGGGGAGATTCCCCCCTCTATTTGTTCTGGTAACCACTGCTAATGAGCAGAGCCATAGCTAGCTCCTTTTGCGCCCGAGGCAAAAACAGAAAATTGTGCCCCCCAACAGACGTGTGATGTCACCCGCGCACACCTAGCATCATGTGGCGCCATGCACCCTGCCTCCAGGATGGTGGCCAAATCCAAAATAGCATAACATTTCTTTTGTTTGACTAAACTAATGAAAACATTTCTAATTTACGTTCTAGTTTTGTCCGAAATTAATTTTTAGTCTTTGCACATGTCTAACAATATGTGTGCATGAGTGTGTGTGTGTGTGTGTGTGTGTGTTATTTATTTTGTATTATTATATATATATTTTTTTACTGTTGGGTGTGCTTCAGGGAAATATTAGGGGTCTAAACAGACCCCTGACATTTCCTTTTTGCAACAGAAAAAGAAATTGAGGACACAGAGTGCTCAATCTCTTTTTCTGCAGGCTTTGTTCTAAATGAATGGAAATCACTCAGTACAGACGCTTCCCATTCATTCAGAAACTGGTGATAGTAAAATATCTATTATTCTCCAGTTATCAATGGATAAAAGCCTCTATAGTGAGTGCTTTCACCCATTGAGAAACTCATGAATGAACAGGAAGAGATGTTCATTCATAACTGGGGACACATAGTACTATGTGTCCCCAGTTATTTACAAACACTGGAGTGATCAGCTGTTCGCTCCAGTGTTTGCTCTGCACAAAGAGATTTACCGATCCTCCCCTCTGCCATCCTGAGCGCTGGGGGAGGGGGTGAGGTGGGAGCGAGAGGCTGGTGCCTGTGCTGCCCCTCTCCTCCTTGCCGAGCTGCAGGTGTGTTGCACGCCTTATGCCCCTGTTGCCATGGTGCCCTGTGTGGAAACCCAAAATGTTAGAGTTGTACCTACAACAAGGGGTAAGAGGAATTCTTTCAATGGCCACTGGCCTATCCAAGTCAACTGTCTAAGAGCGGAATTCTCCTCACTTTGGAGAGATTTGCTCTAATTTCCTATAAATAGTTGTATATACATGCACTTGGAATGCAAAATGATGTTTGACTCCAGTGCACCTTCATAAATGATACAATGCTGTAATGCAAATGAGACCATTTACAATTAATGGGGGCTGTTTATTATAACTCAATACAATTTAATGAAAAAAACATTGGAAAAAAATGAGCAGTTCAATTTATAGAAGCAATATCAGTAAATGGATGATAGCACTCCGAAGTGTTCAGCTTCTTTATTTATTAAAAAATTAGCATATGGAGATTCACCAAGAAGAGGCTTCTCTCACTTCTTCTAGAGACGTCTCTTCTTGATGTATCCTGATATCCCAAATTTTGAGTGAAAAAAGAAGCTGCACATTTACTTCAGAGTGCCATCATTCATTTAATCATATCGTGTTTATTAGAGACGAGCTGGACTGGCACCCACTAATTAAGTGGATAAAGGTGGACTGACCTAGAGCAGCACTGTTTTTGGATGAATGCTATGGATTCCTTCATGGATTGTTAGAAAACCCAGTTTGGTCCTGAACATATTTATCTAAGATGACTTATTCTTATTTGTGGGTGTTTTATCCCACGCTAAATGAGTTAAGCCCCAGTGACTGAAAATACAGCAGAAACACTCAGTATGTGGAGACAGATAAACATGGTCAGACTGGCAAACGTTTTGCGTTTTCATACAGCTACCTAAATATATCTCTTAGTAGTCTAAAAATTCAAAATTATACTCTATAGGGGGAAATGTGTAAAGCAGTGGATGGGACTTTTACCAAACATTCACTGGTGGTAAATCAATTCCAATAATTTAAAACAAATGCACCTGAAAGATTCATCTGCAGTGGATGTTTGGTGAATATCACATTCACTGCTTTGTAAATATGCCACAAATGTGTAGATGCAATTCTGCATGTAAAGGTTTTGACCTATGTCCCCCTTATGTAGCGTTTAAATATGTTAAGTAATGAGCATGCTGATGATATGATTATTATGGTATGTTTTTTTTTTTTTTTAGCACAGTGCTCTTTTTTAGCCTCAAGATGTCGCTATAGCAACAATAGTTTTTGAATAAATATTAGATTTTTTAAAACCCATTTGAGGTGTACGTGTAAGGGCTGGAGAGGTCACATCGTTTCAGCTCAGCAAACTGCAGGTCACATCAAAGACAATACTTCTTTATTTGTCTTGTTCATACCAGGCACACTGTGTTTGTGTGCATTAAAACAATAGTACATGCTGTATTCAGATGCTGCTTACAATCCAAGTCAGCTGCGGCCCTTCTAAATGCATCAAACCGGGCCTTAAAAACATTGTAAACACTAATGTTTACCCATTAGATTTATGCAGCACTGTTCCTATTAGGATATTTTTAAGGACCCTTATACTAGACTTGCTGGTTACTCATATTATCCTGTTGTGCTCTGCGCAGCACTGAGAATATGTGCTTTTTGTATTATTACCTGCCATGCGGCTTGCAAGCCTTGACTTGGTTATCTTTGTATATCTTCGTACAAAAAAACCCACAATAAAACCTTTGTGAAAAAAAACATTGTAAACACACAAGCTGAAACACAGATCAGATACAGAACATTGAATGCCAACAAAACCTTTACTAAATCATCTGTTGTTTTCCTCTCTTAGTAAGGATTCTGGGGAAAGTTGGTGAAGGACTGAGTCGCATGTGCTGTGCTCGTCCCAATCTGCAGAGAGTTACATTTGTAGGTAAGTATCTCCATTGCACGCAATCAAATATATAACTTGCATCTCTTTCCGGTCCTCCACTCTTTCCACATCTGACCCCTGCTGCCAACACTACTTCCAGGTTCCCAGACATCCCCTTTGGCTATTGGGTGGCAACTGATGATGTAACTCCTAACATACACAACCGCCCCAGCAACAGGCCCTTTCACTGCATTTCTAAGATGAGCTGTGAATGGTGTATGTGCCATACAGTGTCCACAGAAAATGTAAAAAAAATTGCTGGGGGAAAGAGGGTGACATTTTGTGGCAGAAGAGACTTGTCATGTCTCCTTTGCCATAAATCCCTATATATTTTTTTTTTTACTTTACTTATCCTTTAAAAAGAAGGGCAGGCAGATTGCAAACTAAATGTGTGCCCCCTTCAGGGGCTGGTCTACAAATCACTACTTTTAACACAGTAACAAAAATACAAAAGTCACATCAAAATTACTTTAAGCTAAAACACTGCAATAATAACTCAAAATATCTACTAACTGAAAGTACATAGAGGGGAATTTATCAAAACTGGAGCAGACAAAATCTGGAGCAGCTGTGCATGGTGATCAATCAGCTTCTCACATTCATTTTCAAATCCTAACTGAACAAACGTAAGAGAGAAGCTGATTGGTTGCCATGGGCAACTGCTCTAGATTTTGTCTGCTGCGGTTTTGATAAATTCCCCTCATGATATTTTTCCTTTACACTCTAAATAATTCTTACCTGCTCTTGAATTTATCACTTACAGAGCTGTAACATTTCCTTCAACAAAATAAACTGTTAGACACCCTCAAAAAGTTAAATTTGTCTGAAATGTAGAAAATAAATTTTGTTTTGCAAAGATGATGGGCAGTGATTTTTGAACTGGGTCCACCTATATCTTTGGTTGGTTCTGGTCTCAGAATATAATCCTGGGTAAGTGAAAGTTTAGGAGCACTGAATGCAGGAGATAAACTATTCTGAGTATGTCTTTTCATTTGATCAAATATCAGAAACATTGCACCACCTGCATTTTGAAGTTTATTATGCTCTCTTTTTTGAAGGTCCTCCACTTGAGAGACTACACCTTCTTTGTGTTCTTTGTGAGCATCCTTGATTAAAACGGTAATCACTGAAATATTAAATCTGCGAAAACTATTAGCAATCCAAATTTGACCCAGTCTGCAAACTCCTTCCGAATCTAAGCTTGAAAGCCATACATTAATGGCCCTATATGCTGCTGCAGCTTTTAAGAAATGTTGTTATCATGTAATTTTTCTAATAGTAGTATTTTTGTTTGCAGATGAGAATGCTAATTTGGGCACAGTGATGAGGTATGAAGAGATAGGTAAGTACCAATGGGAACAGTGTTGAGGTAGCACACTATCACTAATATTCTACTGAGATTTGTCATCTTGCTCATACACTTACTGTCCTTCCTACCCAGAGCTACGGATCTTGCTCCTGTGTGGTAGTGACCTGCTTGAGTCATTTTGTATCCCTGGTCTCTGGAATGAGTCCGATGTGAGTATTGTTCCTTTTGTTGTCAAGGTTCCCTTTTATTTTCATTCTTCTCCCTGGTGTGACTGGCATCCTAAGTTATGTCAAGTGTGTGCTTTGCCCTTATTGTTCCTCACGGCAATCTGTTTGTCTTCCTGTAGATGGAAGTTATCGTGGGTGATTTTGGCATTGTGGTTGTGCCACGTGATGGAACAGACACTGAGCAAATCATGAATCACTCATCTCTGCTCCGTAAATACAAGGTGTGTTCTTACTTTATCAGGTAACTGAGATGAGACACTCATTTATAATCAGACGGAGCCTTCAGTTACATAGCATTGAGTGCACAAAAATAGATTAGCTATATATGTATATATACACTATATTGCCAAAAGTATTGGGACGCCTGCCTTTACACGCACATGAACTTTAATAGCATCCCAGTCTTAGTCCGTAGGGTTCAATATTGAGTTGGCCCACCCTTTGCCGCTATAACAGCTTCAACTCTTCTGGGAAGGCTGTCCACAAGGTTTAGGAGTGTGTCTATGGGAATGTTTGACCATTCTTCCAGAAGCGCATTTGTGAGGTCAGGTACTGATGTTGGCCGAGAATGCCTGGCTCGCAGTCTCTGTTCTAATTCTTTCCAAAGGTGTTCTATTGGGCTGAGGTCAGGACTCTGTGCAGGCCAGTCAGGTTCCTCCACCCCAAACTCGCTCATCCATGTCTTTATGGACCTTGCTTTGTGTACTGGTGCGCACTCATGTTGGAACAGTAAGGGGCTATCCCCAAACTGTTCCCACAAAGTTGGGAGCATGAAATTGTCCAAAATGTCTTGGTATGCTGATGCCTTAAGAGTTCCCTTCACTGGAACTAAGGGGCCATGCCGAACCCCTGAAAAACAACCCCACACCATAATCCCCCCTCCACCAAACTTTACACTTCGCACAATGCAGTCAGGCAAGTACTGTTCTCCTGGCAACTGCCAAATCCAGACGCGTCCATCGGATTGCCAGACAGAGAAGCATGATTCGTCGCTCCAGAGAACATGTCTCCACTTCTCTAGAGTCCAGTGGCGGCGTGCTTTATACCACTGCAACCAAAGCTTTGCATTGCACTTGGTGATGGAAGGCTTGGATGCAGCTGCTCGGCAATGGAAACCCATTCCATGAAGCTCTCTATGCACCATTGTTGTGCCAATCTGAAGGCCACGCAAAGTTTGGAGATCTGTAGCTATTGCTTTTGTACCCAGTTGCTTCCACTTTGTTATAATACCACTAACATGTGACCATGGAATATTTAGTAGCAAGGAAATTTCACAGACGGACTTATTGCACAGGTGGCAACCTAACACAGTACCACACTAGAATTCACTGAGCTCCTGAGAGCGACCCATTCTTTCACAAATGTTTGTAGAAGCGTCTGCATGCCTAGGTGCTAGATTTTATACACCTGTGGCCATGGAGGTGATTGGAACACCTGAATCCAATGACTGGAGGGGTGTCCCAATACTTTTGGCAATATAGTGTATATATATTTATTTATTTTTTTTGTGCCAGAATGCTAATCTGGTCTTGACAATGTTTTAGATGAAGCAAAATTCCAGTTATATCATTTTAAATGTACAACTGTATGTGCTAACCTAGGATTCTTCCTTTCTGTAGAACAACATCATTGTGATTAAAGATGACACCAACCATCCTATGTCCAATGTGAGCTCCACGAAGAGCAGGTAATGGACAGCATTGAATTTTGATTATTTATGTGTTTTTCTGTAGCTAGGAATCCACATTTTTTAGACGATATTTGTAATAATACTTAAGCTATTTTTTTCAGTAACCTAAATCTGCTCAAACAATTAATTTGGCCCAACTGTTTCTTAAAGGGAACGTATAGGAGTTTTGTACATATTGCCTCTATTTATAATGGTGAGGAATTAAAAGGAAAAAATATAGTTTGTTTTTCCATTTCTTTTTTTAGTAAGGTAAATAGGAAGTATTCAATATGAATATTTATATTTTCACAGACAACCAACAGGCTCCTTTTCTTGTTTTTTTTCTTATCACCCAGTTGTTTACAGAGGGAAATAGCTCATGTGAAAAAGTCAGAGCAGGGATTCATCCCTTATTGGATATTTCCATCTGAGGTTTCATAAAAGGGAAGCACTTTGTGGTGCTGTCCATTTAGATAATCCATAGTGCTCTGTAGATCTTTTGTCCTTTTTGAAATGTTTATTTTAAAAATTAAAACGTAAAACACCCAAATCATTATATTTTATTTTAAATACATCACAGCTGCTATTGCTGAATGTACAAAACAGATATGCACGCAACAGCTGCATACATATCTGTTTGCTGCTTGGCTTTTAGTTTCGTATTGCACAAGCATGCTTGGTTTAGCTTTAGTTCCATGCTTGATTTAGCTTGGACACTATTGTTATCTTAGAAGAGCAATCAATGGAGTATAGGTAGTCTTTTTCTCCAAGATCACTGCATCTGAAATTAGCAGGAATGGGTGGTGATGATCTAATCCTTACAGGTGCCTTCAAGAAAACCTCAAATTTCCCTGGAAACCCCATCCTTACTCTTGGTTTACCACTTATTATTATTGCTATTTGTTTTTTTTTAATTACAAAGGCACAATCATCCACCTTTACCTGTATGCAGCTTGAAAGGAATTTGAAATATGGGAAGTGACATTGTTCGGGTGCATGTTCAGAAGCTGTCATCTCGATCCTTGCTTTACTACTTGTTGAGTTGCCAACCCATAAAAAGCATGAGCATACTAGTTGCCCCAACAGTTTACTAGCTGCACGGTTGTTTTTGATCAGTGACTCATCAAAAAGTGAAGCAAGTAACCAGGACCTTCAAAAGGAAGTAAGCAGTGACAGTTACTGTATGTTTCCCTGAGATAGCACTTGTCTAATGGTAGTTGTGTGTGACATGTCCTGTCCAGGGATGTGGACATTTGGTAGGAAGACAGTGTCAACAATTCACTTGCTCTATGTATTGTGTGGTATGCTGCTGTTAATTTTCTGTTTTCAAAATGTGAATTGAAATGACCTAAGTTTTTTGTTTTTCTTCAGACTGGCCTTGCAGCATGGAGATGGACATGTGGTGGATTATCTGACACAACCTGTCATTGACTATGTCCTGAAAAGCCAGCTTTATATCAATACTTCTGGTTGACTTTGCGTGTTCCAGCATGGGGTGTAGCTGTATGCTACCTTCATCGTCACAATAAAATGTGTTATTGCTCACTACTCACCACAATCTCTTCACGGACCATGATATCTCTGTTATCCCACTCATAACTGCCCTACTCACCTCTCTGCCTTACTCATTCACTTAAAGTGTACATGTCACCTTTTTAGTACAGAGGCATCCATTTATTACTGGGTCCAAAGTATTTAGCTTCCCAGTTAATTCATAACTTGTGACATTACTGTGACAAAAGTTACAAGATGCTACAGTGATGTCCCTAGTTCCAAGTGAACTGATACGCTGCATATTGGTTCAATCTACAGAATGGCTCCCATCAATGAATATGAGTGACAGGTATACTTTAAGATATTCTCACGTCGAAGCCCAAGGTGAGAGAGCACTTGCTGTACTAGTGAAAAGAGTGCTTGGGGCAGTGTTGTTTTCTGGCGTATTTAAACATAAAAGCTGTTGTACTCTGCTGGGGGTAGTTTTGGGGGTATCAGTTAACCCATTGGGTACCCTGCACATCATGTACACTAAGTGGGTATTTATTTATTCCCCACCTACTGGTTATTTTTTGGAATGGAGGTGTTATTTATAAATAATGTATTACATTTTAGCAATTAATAGTATCTCTTTTTCAACTGGGATAAATGACCTTATCCCTGTCCTCTCTCCATCTCAATTTGTAGTGGGCTGTGGTTATCAGAAGAAACATTGGTGCCTCACTGACATAGGCATTGTGCACACAGTTAGCATACCTTGCTGTGCTTATATCTCCATGGTGTTATCATACCCTTTAATAAACTTCAATTAAAAGGCATGTGACTATCTACAGACTGGGAAGCAGGGGTGGCTTTTAGAAAGAGCCCTACCTAAATGAACACATGAACAATATATTTTCTCAATCAAAAAGGTTTTTAAGTAGATAGACAATGCTAGATGTTTACTTATTAGTGTATACTCATTGAATCCAGTCATGTCAGCATAGGGCTCAGTAATGGGGGCAACAAATGGTCTGCAGTTCTAGGCATTTCCGAAAATATTTATTAGTTAGTTAATATTAATACATTTTTGATAGGAGGCAAAAGTTGACCAGACACAGCATAGGTCAGTTTAACTAATTGTACCAAACTGTAATAAGAAGTGGAGACCAACACAAGGAGCTAATTAGAATACGAAACCAAAGTGTGTGTGTGTGTATACTGAGTGGCCAGATTATTATGACCACCTGACGTTTGTAGGCAAATTAGCTATAATTAGCTATAATTTCGCGCTGAAGTTGCTAGAGGGCCAGACCATTATAAATAGGGAAGCAGGTTGTTTACCACGACAGTAGAAGTGATTTTTTTCTGAAGATATGGGTAAACAACGCGATTTAACAGCCTTTGAACGTGGGATGATTGTTGACGCTCGGAGCCATGGAGCGAGTATCAGAAAAACAGCAGAATTCGTTAAATGTTCAAGAGCAGCTGTTGTTAAAGTGTTTAAAGACTGGACTGTCAGCCGAAAATCTGGGTCTGAACGTGCGAATTGTGGCCGTCAGCGACTAGTCAATGTTAGGGCAGAACGGAGAGTGGCAAGACTGGTACAAGACAACAGAAGGGCAACAGTGCCGTGTCAGATTCCTCGCATCACCTTTCAACATCTCGTGGAGTCACGAGGCGGCCCAACGAAGTCATCTCATGGAGTCATCTCGTGGCCCAACAAAGTACTGATGGGGTGGTCATAATAATCTGGCCACTCAGTGTATACCTGTATCACTGACCTGCAACATATGTAGTAAAGTAAAAAGAGAAAACACCTCCAACACATAAGGCTGCTTAATTGTGAATTTATTCAGCAGCATTAGTAGATGGGTGATAGCAAGAATAACCAGTGTTCAGTTATTTTACAGGTATTTAAGCTGATATAGGTATCTAATATGTAGACTATCCTACTGCTTTAAACTACATGGGTTATTTAATATCAGAGCACCTATTACATACATGGTAAATTTGAGGCATTGTCCATTAATAATCATACATTGCATAGATAGCTTTAAGACCAGGTTAGGTTTATATTACCTTAATTAACTTTTGGTTACATCCAGTACCTCCCTGCAGCCATTGCTCACTCTTGTCTTATGCTAGAGTGTGACAGGTTAGAGCAGTAGATGCATGGGGAGGAGATCACTCTTAGAACAGAGTTTTAATGATTAGAAAACGCTGAATTAAGTCTTCGCACATACCTTTATTCCAGTATAAAATCAGTAATGATGATATTTTCTTTGATGGAATATGTCTCCATGGCCATTTTTAATTTTGTGAAGCATCTATAATACAATCTTAGTAGTCATCAGTTTCTGCTGTGATTCTAGTGATTGTTAGCCGAAGTTGATGCCACCATTGTACCAAATTTTTCTATGCTGAAAACCATGCAAGCACTGCTATAAAAAGTCAGTTGTAGCCTCAAGTACCAATATACTAGTACTAACGGTGTATTTATAATATTTATTAATGTGTCTTTACATAGAATGTGTGCAGTCCTCCATTGCACTAATGAGTCCCACTCTGTGTTTGGCCCAGACAGTTGTGGCGTTTGTCATATGATTAGGTCATGCTTGAGTTTAGTATTTCTGTATGCTTCAGGAGGTAAAATGAGGTCTTATATTCTCCTAAATGAACTTAGACTTATTCTGGAGGCTGTGATTCTCATTCTTTCAGTGCTGGCTGCCTGCCTGTTAGGCTGACCCTCTTGCTTCAATACACCGACTCATTGACACAGAGCAAGTTTGCAGATTAGGACTTCTGACGTTAATCTATTTTAGATCTGCACAATTGTTCCTTGTCAGTGATTCAAAAATATTGTATCCAGTGGGTCAGCATAGCAACCAGACAGTTAGCATTTTCACAAGGTCAGCAATAGCAGCCTCTCTCTCAGGAAAAAAAATATATTTTTTGAAATAATTACTCTAGTTAGATAAATGTTTAGCATAAAGTGACCCTGGCAATTCTCAAAAATAATCCATTCAGCTACACCCTGTACTAGAGGAGACCAAATATTTACCTTTCTAATGGTTTCCGAGTGAAATATTCATTCTCATGCACAGCTAGCAGCACTGCTAATACCCCACACTTCAGCGGATGTGCCATATTGCATGTCCTCCCTGGGCGCCATTGTTCTCCCACCTGCCACCAAATCAGTCCAGGACTGGCAGCAACTGGCAATGTACTACGAACTAGCTTACTGCCAACAATGGGTTAAATCACTACTAGCATTTAAGTAAAGCTGTCATAAGAGAAATAGGGGGTTGCCAATGCTGACCTGCTTCTGAAAATGCTTTCTTCCTTGCGGTTATACTGACTTTCCCACTTCAGCACTTTCTGGATCACTTCCCTGGCTCAAGCTTGCAAGTCAGAGAAAAGGCAGGAATCATTATCTGCACACCTGCTTTAGCTCATTGACTCTGGCTATTGAGCACAATGGCCTGGCAACTAGCATTTTTAACAGAAGAGGTTGGCAATTGCAACCTCCAAGTTTCTCTCATGATAGGTTCCTTTCAAACTGCCTTTGTAGTTTAGCCCAGCGTTAAGTGTATCGTTGTTTGCCTCCTGGTGTTCACGATATATTGCAGAGCACCACATAAACTCTACATGATTCCATAATATCCAGCCTGAAATGCAAAAATGAACTTTTGATACTTGCTCATTGATAACCGTGCTGCCATATTTCTGCTGCAAACAGTAACAACCCAGTCCATTATAACGCTTTCTGTAGAGCATTTAATACTCCTATAGCAAATGATTTATTGTATTAAAATCCATGCCCATCAGTCTGTACATAAAGTAGAGGCTTCACTACAGAAAAAACAATATTCTGACCTTTGAGGGAAAATGAGCACAGTGACACCATGCAGAAAAGGTGTAGATTGTAGCTTATGTGCCAGAAGCTGATACAAATTCAATAGTATATAGTTTGCTTGATGAATCCCCCAGTGACCAATTCAGCTATGAGGACAGGTAGTGTTATGACAGTTCAATGTGCTCCTCTACCCACTACGTAGAGATGCAGCTTTTTAAGAAAAAACAAACCACATAACTGATAATAAGTGAGGTTCATTGTACAAATGTCTATTTTTTAAGTCCTACAGATCATATGGTGGCCAGAGGACACAACAATGAAATTTGATCAAATACGGATTGTGTTATCAAAGATTTTTTTTCTTGACTGATAGCCTATGTAGACATTGTGCCACGCCTCTAATTTCTAGGAACTAATAATATCATTGGGTAATGAAAGTGCTTTTGTTCTCCATAGAAGTATCATATTACTGGTAAATTGATAGGGCTGCATTGTTATCGATCAGCATTTAGTGTACTTAGAATAAGCAGCTGATACACTTTATAGTAAACCTGTCACAAACATGGGCAATTCAAACTCATAAAGCGATATAAGCAACCTCAGTTATATGCAAATCTTGATTTTTTTTTCCCCTGTAAAAACTAATCTTGCCCCACCACCTCTCATCTATAATTTCCAATAAAGGACAGAAAGTGATGCTTGGAAGAAGCTTGCATACAAATTTAGTTGACTGCATCTGTGACTCTAATAACCATTTTAGCATGAAGTTTCACTAAAGGTAACATGGTTAAAGAAAAGCTATCATATTGCCCATTCAGTGCCTCCTGGTAGCCCATCCCCCCGAGTAGAGCATACACACCTAACTTTGCTCCCTTGCTGCCTAGTTGCTCTGTTGGAGTCCCCACTCTGTTGCTGTAATGGAGCAAGGCTCCCAGGTATGGGAGACTATGTGACCTCCTCCAAGTGCCAGTGTTTGTGAATAAGTGGCTAATCACCAGCCCCAAACACTGTCACATGGTGGGGTCACTGTTGTCATCCACCCGGGTAACCTCTGATACTGGATCTTTCTTTGGGCATTCCTGCAACAGGGAGGTGGTAAGGGTGTAAAGATCAATGAGTATACCTTCTTGGGAAGGAAGGGGCATAAGTAGGCTGAAAGGGGCGAGTTAAAGTGTCTTTTAATGCATTTTTTTCAACATATATTCAGTTGGAATTGTCTGGATTTACATGAAACCTTTAAATGATGCATCTTATTTATTTAAAGTTCACTAAATATCTGATGTATTGACCTGACTGCTTTGAACCCATATTAATACCTATTCCTAAATCTTGTTTATTAAATGTATTATTTCTGGCTTACTTACAGGAGGCAACCTTAGGACTGGCACAGTTTCTTAGCATAGAATAGAGAAGCATCTATGAAACATATCAGAAGTGAGGAACCACCTAGTGTTATCAGATAAGATTACATCAAACATGTATGAAGGGTAATGTAAAATAGTGCTGGGTATCCGCTAAATAGGAGGGTGTGAGTGAACCATCCTTAGGCTAGTGTATCGGGTTTTGTTCATTCTGTTGTTGCTGTTTTACCAATAAAGTTTTTGCTTTGCTAGAAAATGGCTGTCAGGCATGATGTCACCAGAAAATAAAGTGGCAATGTTTAATGATATATATTTATTAATAAATAAATACAAAAGGTACACAGACAAAATATGGCACAGTTTCTAGGAGAGACACATTTCATGGTTGTATTTAGCACCCAATTGCCCAGAGTCTGGTTTCAAGAATGTCCAAAACAAGGTCTTTTGTTTCATATGCATCATGCAGATCTTGCACTCAGCTCAAGTGATTGTTCGTAATTATGGGCTTTACGGCACCTATTTTGTCCTTTGGGGTTTCAGGGCCTTTCAATTGGAGCTGTATTGTAGCACCCTGGTGGAAGGCTGTTTTTGATATCCCTCAGGTTTTGGATATCAATCATCGTTTGCTGGATCTCGGTATCCAGGCTGAGAATCCGCTGTTTTTGAAGTTTAAATGACAACTCCAGCTCTTGTAAAGCTGGCCTGAGGCGCTGAGTGACCTGCTTGCGAGCCGTCTCCATGCTGCTCTCTAGAGATTGTAACGCTTCTCCATTTCCTTCGACAGGTTGGTCTGCAAATAACAGTCATACAGTTGAAGCATTCTAACATTTGCTAATAAAAAGGTACACAGTCATTAAAAGTGGAACTAAAGCTGATCTAACCCTAACCCTGTACACCTAATCTTTCAAATTAAACATGCTTGGGACAAAAATAGATATATACAAAAAGAAAATAATAATGAAAAAAAGGCATACTCGATGGAACGCTTGGTCTTTTTCTGCCATTACTCTTCTATTACTTTTTTTAAATAAACAAATTAAAATTTTTACAGTTGTCAAAAGTTGAAGAGGGAATCTTGTTCCAGTGACAGCTAAGAGGGGGATCCCCTCACTTAAAATTTAGGCTGAACACAGGGCCGTTAAGGTCTCTTAATTGAGATTAATGTAGATGTTAATATGCGTAAATGCATTTCCAGATCGATATAGAGTACTATAGGACAGTTCCAACATTTGTTGGAAATATGAAAATTATTTTGCTATCGTTAGCAAATCTATCCATACATGAAATTTACTCCGATGTAAGGTTATTATTCTACTGCAAACTAACCTGAAACATCTTTGTGTTGTGACAGAGAAGATATGTGAACAAACTACAGGATCTACAATGTATTCTATGATATATATATATATATACACACACACATACACTCCCACCATCAAGCATACAAGAAACTAGCAGTCCACATTATAGAAACTAAAGCCTTACTCTTTTTCTTTTAGCTTCCTTACATTTTCATGTATATGAAAGGAAAAGAAGATAGATTTTGAGATAAGACACCTTTAACCTCTTGCCGTCCGCCCGTAGTAAAAAAACGGACGGACGGCACTGCTGTATCTGCGGGTTGCCGTCTCCAGACGGCAATTTTTTTCTGCTCGCGCGCGCCCCCTAGCGGGAACCATTAAACACTCAGCCATGAGCCACAGCTGGAGGCATGATCCATCTATGTAACCTTGGCTATGCTTACATCTGCGATCTATAACTGGTTTCTAAGATATCATTTATGGTGGTAATGGATGCAAAGATGCTGCCTGTGTTGAACACCTAATAGGTCAGTAATTCAATCAATGCATTATGCTACAGGAACTAGCACCCTGTGTGAATCGATTATGCCAGCTGCTTACCTAATAAGCTGAGAACTCGATCGAGGGCGTTCAATGTTGTTGTGACAGCAGTGAGGGCACCACCAGCATGAGTTTCGGCTTCTGCTGCACTATCCACAATCTGAAGGCAGAAAGCAGGCATGTCAAGTACAGAATAAAAAATAAGCATTTTAAGACTCTTTCCAGTACATGTGACTGTTACTGGCTGATAGATAAGTTAAGGCATAAGTAAGGAAAATGCAACCAGGTACACTTCAGACCGGATCTCTTATCTGGTCTTGATACCATAAACTGAGATTCTATTGGTTGCTCTGTGTTGCTGCACATGGTATGTCACAGCCATCCGGACACACTGGTTGTGCAATGAATGCATTCCAGAAGCTGCATGCACCATATGTGACACATTTGGCAAACTGATACAAAGTGCATACAAAGTTCAGGATATGCTGGTTATATGCACAGCCGAAACTGGTTGCGCATAGATTGTTTCGAGTTTTATATTGCATATAGGCACGTTTCTTACCAACTGTGCAGCTGCACTGTCTTCTGCTGCTTCCTTTGCCTTCTCATCCAATTCTCCAGCTGTTCTGCGAGCCATTTTCTGCAATGCAGCGAACTCATTCTCCAGCGTCAAGGCCAGTTGAGCTGAACTGTTTGCATCCTGGCTCATTCGCAGCATGTCCTGAGAAGCACAGCACACAAAGGGTTACCCAGCTATTAAGGCCCAAGTGTCATTTCCAAAAGACAAAGAGGAGCACTTTCAGACCACAAAGATCTGTGAATGCAACTGGAGACCTGCAAAACTAATACAGGTTAGTGACTCAGAAAGAAGCGACACCACTTGGATCTGCAAGCAACTGATCCAAAAATGTAGCTAGCATTTTCAGAAGCAGGAAACAGTAAAGGCAGTTTGGATCAAGTTGTGAGGGGATAGAACCCATGTCAGGTTTTTATTGCTGTCTGCATACTTATTAAGGATGTGGACCACATTCACCGGGAATGAAAGGAAATGGAAAATCCACACTTAAATATTTTAAAAACCTGTTTCTAAGTATAATGTGAATTTTTATAATCAAATGGGGCCAGTGATATTTGCTCATTTTATATGCAGGCTCCATTTCCTGCTTTACAGTGCTATCCAATGACTATGCTATACTGATTCTTCTCATAACGCAAGTCTAGAAGTCAGCCAACTGATTTAAATCAGTTTCACTCCCTGTGCGGTCAATATCCTAATAGCTGTAAAGAGGGGGAGATTGAGCATATTTATGGTTTATGAACTAGGGAGCAGAAGAGTGTCTCATGGCACTCATCGGCACAGGTGGATCTTCAGTGTAAAGGTCGTATATGCAGAACAATAAGATGTTATTGGATGACACAGCTCACCAATCAAAAATAGTCTTAGATACTGGCTCTGTGAGGAATAGTCAGCAAATGGAAATTCTTTATCAAGTCTGTTGCAGGTTTACAGACTGCAGAATGCTATATCATTCTTGGTAGTCCGAGCACTTACCTGTTGTATTGCAGTTGTAATACCTTGAGCTTCTCCAGAATTCTCTACAGCCATGTCAGCATCCTTCTCTGCACCCATTAGTGCTGTGCTCGCTCTTTCTGTGGTACTTGTGACTCCTAGTACACGTCGCTGGATTTCAGGAAGGAGCCTCATCGCCTCTTCTGCTGCTCTGCGTCGATCTCCTACCTGATTTCCAAATCCTACATTTTAGAAATATAGTTATTAGCAATAGTGGAGCTCAGTTGCTAAACCCAATGCAAAATGTAAACTGGGCTCCATGACATCTCCACTCTATTACCCAAAATGAATCCAAATGCTAAACACAATATAACAAGCATGTGAACATGAATGTCTTCATAATTGGATAACTAATACATACATTGTGGAAGATGTATTAATGTGGTAAACCCTACAATTAACATCTGAACTACAGGCAGTCCCCTCCTACAATATTCACACATATGAGGCATCAGATAGCATGTTATACATGTTGTTCCGGCACTTAATTTCATGGGTTTGCCAAAGCTACAGCTCTGTAAGCCCTTTTCAATGGGTTCCATCCCTCATTATTTATATGGCACTAACAAAGAGCTGTTTACAGTATAATGAAGTAAATTATAACTAGGGATGTACTGATACTGGTTTTTTGGTATCGAGTACAAGTACCAGTATAGTTTTTTCTGGTACTCGCCGATACCGAAAGTCCTAGTAGGGAAGCCGGGCAGCGTGTAATAACGCGATTAGCAAGGAAGCTGTCTCCATGCTCCCTCGTTACCAGTTGCTGATGAAGTATAGAGTTGGCTTTACCGACCAATCAGAAAGCCGGGTGGTGAGTCATTATACTGCGCCCGGGCAGCGAGGAATTTCCGTTATAGGGACAGGCATTGGAAGCATGTGGGCGAGGATGAGTAATCGGCCAAATACTCAGTATCGGCACAGATACCGAAACTAGTATCGGTGCATCCCTAATCATAACCATATAGAGGAAACATTAGGAATTATAACTCAGCATAGAGCAGAAAATGGCCCCCAATAAAACTAGCAAATACTCTGCAGAAGTCTAACAATTTGTTTAATATAGTATTTTGCTGAAAAGTCCAGACAGCTGACACCATGACCATACCCACCCTTCAGGCTGCTGAGCACCCCCTCGATCTCATAATATGTTGCGTTCCCTGACAGCATGGCCTGATTGGCTTTATTCTTTGCAGCATTTGCCCGCGACAACAGCTGATCCCCCATCTGCAAGGAAACAAGTCACACTGATGACATCACATACTACTTAGTACCTATATTTATTATTTATGATGCTTTTTATAATTGCAGAGTAAAGATATGTATGCTTAAAGTTAACATGCAAAGTATAAAAAGAAATAATCTAAAGATTTCCTATAAAAGCAGCAACCAAGAGGTGCTCACACACACCATTTTAAATCATCATGAACAAACCAGGAGTCCCTAAACATGATATGATATCAACTACCACCACTGAAATCAGCATTCTGGCACTCTATAATGTACACCTCTGTAACAGGATGAAGGGGAGGTTTACTATGTGTCAGATTTGGTTGCTTTAAGGCTTATCTCTGGGGAATAAAACTACCATTTCAGTGGAGCTACCCTGCGCTGCAAGGGTTAAGAGCTCAGCCCAGCTCACTGATGCCACTGGTTGCCAGGAATTGGGTGGGACGCCAGCCAGAGCATCCCACCCAGCTCCTAGCAACCAGTGGCATCAGTGAGCTGGGCGGGATGCCGGCCAGAGCAACCCAGCTTGCTAAGAGCTGGGAGGGGATATGTTACATAGTTACATAGGGGCGTTTTTTGCCTTCCTCTGGATCAACGGTGGGTAATTGGGGGCACAGTGTTCTGTTTAGGCTTTTCTTCTTTTTTTTTGCATATCTCTATAGCTTGGACTCAATGGACATGTGTCTTTTTTCAGCCTGACTAACTATATAACTATAGGCTATATATAAGTAAATGGTACTGGCAGTTTATGTACATTATACTGCACTGCCAGATTTATTAATGAGTGCTCACACACAATCAATATTTGTTTTTATTCCCAGACTGTCAGTGAATCAGTTACTGGAATATTCCCTAGTGAGTTATAATGCATTATATTTTCTCACCTGTCTGTACTTCTGCCCTTCATAAAGTTGCTGCTCGGCACTCTGCTCCCAGACATTGAATTTGTTCTGTAAATTTTTGCTCTGAGATATCTCTGCTTCTACTGAAGTTTTCAAGACTGATGATTCTCGCTTAAGACGCTCCATCTCCTCCTGATAAATAAAATGATGCATCAGTGGCAGCCATAACTTTCCTACATATAGCTGTTCCACTCTCATGTGATCATGCTGGAAACTAATGCTTTTACGCTTAAGCTGGAATAATGAAAAGTGATATTTTTTAACGTGCAGCCATTTTCCTATCCAGTAATCTTATAAGCGGAACCTGCCGACTGTCATTTTTAAAGATGACCCGAAGGCTAATACATAAAACAGCCATTCATTTACATGTAATCCTTCACAGTCAGAAAATCATTTGCAGCTGACTCTAATAGCCTGAAATCCATATTTATATTGCTTTGCTTTATGTCAGCTGAAAGTGTCTGCTACATGGGCTGGTTAGGAAGAAGAGACACTTGAATTAAAAATAAATAAGTACATATTTTTTATCGCTATGCGCAAAAAATACATGTAACAAAACTGATGTGAGAATGTATTGCTGTATATATGTATAATATGTAAACTGCACACCGTTGTGTTTTCTAGAAGTGGATTCCTGGAAGTCAGATGAAGCCTGATCTTGGGTGTCCTTCAGATTTCCAGGAATGTGGCTAATCCATTCATCAGTGCACAACAAGCAACATTTTAGGGTCATATCATATTTCCTTCAGCATATACAAATGGCTTTTATCTGTGTCATGGGAGTGCTCCAGCAACATCCATCAAGTGATGTGAGTCCTGACATTACCTGGAATTGCATAGGGAGTACAAGAGAGGCTTTTGCTAACTCCCGAGCAGTCTGCGAGCTCTCATGGTAAGATCTCTCTGCAGAGGCAGCAGCTTGAATGGCCTCAGTCTCCAGTGTGCCAACCTGAGTGCGGCCATCATACAGCCTGGGAAGACAAAATAACGTCAAAAGACAATTCTAATAATATCAGATGATTGATTGGCTGGAGCAGGGTAGCTCTATGTCCTGTTGGGGTACATGGGTTATCCAAAACTCTTTAGACCTTATTCGGAACATTCTTCAGCACAAAATCTTATAAATTATAAGTTATAAATTGATCTGAGTGGTTGCCATTTTTGCTATTGTTCCCCCCCCCCCATTTTGTTTTGCGCCCCCCCCCCCCTTATACTGTAGATCACTTTTGGAGTAAAGATCAGTTAGCAGTGTATACTGTATATATACTGTATATTCCGACATAGGATCCAACAGTATGGTCAACTGCTCCTGATATCCCCTCTTAAACAGTTGTCACCAGAACAGGTTGGAATATTTTTTCTCACCTTCTGTTCCTGTGGCAACTCAGAAATCTTGGTTTTCCAATTGCTTTCTGTCTCAGAGGTAATGATTGTAATATTTTCTTCATTCAACCCAGGGGCTGAACAAAGAAAATATAACAGATTCTTCCATCAACGCTTAAGAGTGTTGATCGAGGAATCTTCCACTGTTTGCACTGTATTCTGACAGCGGTCACTGAAACAATACCTGAACAGACCTGGGAGCTCATTGGTATAGTGTATGGACAGCTTTAGTACTCTAATTAGGAGTTCTGATTTGAAGCACATGTCAAGGCAAAAAGAAAAACATATTAGTACATCTGTGGAAGACATACACCTTTCTCCATGCTTTATCTCTATTAACACGCTGTAAGTACAGAAAAATATCTGTTGATCTGCCAGAAATATAATGTGCTTCTACTCTCCTTTTTTTTTCTAAGAATGTGGTGTGTGTCAGCCCTGCCTACTTTAATTCTGATGGATTACAAAGAACATAGACCTCTCAGCAAATGCAGAGAGCACAGGGAGTTATCATCTTACAAGATTTCTGACAAAATCAACAGGTATTTTTTACATTTATTGAACAGATATAACAAATGCTTCCAATGGTATATTTAGTAGACCAAAAGGGAGCAAGTAAGAAAAGTTCACTGTTAAGGTTTAAATACACTTTAACCTTTTGGTTTTAATGGTGCAGTTTTATGCTGCCCTATTTCTGCTAAGACCTGACCTTTATATTACACTGCATTTTTGTGAGTGCAAATGGATTTCCAACAAGTCAATCTTAGGGGACAAATGTAGGAACTGTTGTTTCTATTTCCAAAAAATAGGCGTGATAGTTCTATAGTTACCCCCAAATGTCAGACTTTGGCAAACGGAACACAGGGATAAGATTTATAAAATGCCCCCTTAGATTTCATGTCTGATGAAAGTGTAGCTCCACTGTGACCATGTGGCTGTCCTCATGGAACAGTTCAGGAAGTAGAAGTGTAAAGTGTCATATGACATTGCATTTATAAGGGTGTATTACAGTGTAACATGTCATGAAACTCAACTACTTCATACATCTGCCCCATTGTGATTTCTACATATTGCCCCATTTCCTAATCCTATACCTTGATCTTAGTTTCTCTGCAGCATTGAGGTCTGCGTCTCCTGAGCGTAGAATCTGCATCGTTCTTTGCGTATCCGCCAAGGCGTCCCCTGCGTTCTGTGCTACCATCTGAGCTTCTTGTTCGAGTCTGAGTTCAGTAAAGAGGAGAGAATTCAGTAAGGAGGAGGGGATTCCATCATACAAGGAAAGTGTGGGGCTACATCAGAAAGGAAATGGTGCTTACACTTGGGCTAATTTTTTCAGGTTATAATAAATTAATCTAAAAATGAGGCATAATCATATTGTTGGCAATCAAACACAGTAAAACCTAATTATCTCTAACATCCTCCGAACTCCCACAATTTTATTTCTCACCATTAATTAACTGCCATCCCGGTTTGTATTATATTTCATTATTGATGGGGTTTGCTCTCTGCCACAGAACACATGGATTGGTTCCATCTGTTGCCATGGATACATTGATCTAATATACACAGTGTGTCCATTTCAGCAATGAAAAAGTCATGATTCATTAATTTTCCTTAGAGACAGAACTTCCTGCTGCAGAAGCCTAGTCACCACCCAACCACCACTGCCCTTATCACATATGGGCAGCTGAATGTACTGATATACTATACATGCTGCTGCATTAGTGCTTTGCATGTCCGATTTCCCTTGTTCTTGGACATATGGCAATGCCGGAGTACAAAACGTTACCATACTGGCCTCTGATTTCCAGACATCTGGTGTTTTACGAAAACCTAGTCTTAAGCCTATGATTACGGACAGGGATTCTCAACTTCATCCATCAAAGTCTCTGCAGTCTAATTATAGATAATGTGTATCATTCAGAAATAAATAAAATCCTTGCAGAGGGGCTCCAGGGACCGGTCTAAGAGCCTGCTTGGAGGATCGGGTGAGTATAACTTTTTTTTGACCCTAGGCAAAAAGAAGCAGTTAACTCTTGAAGTATGGGGGTAGCCCCCACTGCAAGGGTTAATAAAAGTTTTAACTGGAGTTCTGTTTAAGGGTTCAGGAAACACCAGTCCTCCACTATTGCACAGTGCTACTGTGTTGGCATAGGCTGGTTGTCTGACAATGTACTTATGCCAAGGAGCAAACTAGAGAAAGAAGGGAAGTTAATAGGTTCCAGCATGCCTTGCTGCAGTGCAGCAGGGTAAGTAAGCGAACATTTTTCCACATATGTACAAGATGTGGTCCTACCTAGTCGCAAGTTTCTGGGCTTCTTGACCAAGTGTAGAAAATTTGCTTGAATTCCAGTTTAAATTATCCGAAGGAAAAGTCTGTTGTGCGAAAATAAACGTATAATTAATTTACATAAATTTTTTTGCTGAATCTGAAACAATATTTAAACGAAAGAATTTGCTGGCAGAAGATTTTACAGCCAAGGACAACAGATATGACAAACTAAACTGTAGCTCAGTGAATTTTATAATGTGAATGATGCATGATAAAGTGAATAATGCAACTCACCATTCGGTTCAGTTCAGCCTGGCCCCCCTCAAGCTGTTGCCGTGCCACTGCTATCTTCATCTTGGTCTCCTGCAGCCGACTCTGGTACTCTCCAGTCTGGGTCTGTGCTTGCTGTAGCTTTGCCTGAGCTTGATCCAAGTCATTCTGGGTATCAGTCTGTAACCCTTGTAGTGTTGACATCTGTCTTTGCAGGGATTGCTCCGTAGCTGATGAACAGGAACACGGTTACTACATAAACCTTTCTTCTACAGCTCAATCAGACCAGATTGGGGGAGTCATGATTACTAGATATAACCAGGGCTGTAACTATGTTTGATGGAGCCCCACAGCAAAACTATTAAGGAGTCCCCCCGTCTCTCTAATCTGCACCCTAAGGCAGTACTGATTAATAGAAATCATAATACTACTAAGTAATAGAAATCAGAGAGGTTACCAATATAATCCAATAACTATATATATAACGTCAAAAAAAACAAAAACGCAGTATTGCAGTATGCAATGATACCTTTCTTATTGAACTAACAAAATATATAAAAGACAAGCTTTCGAGAGTGAACCTCTCTTCTTCAGGTCAGAAGCAATAAATGGTTTACCCATTTATATTGCACTATATATATATATATATGTATATATATTTATTTTTTGTTATGAAATGCATTTGCTATCTGTATTAACGTTTTTGTAGACAGACAACTCTTGACTGCTACAGTTATAGTTACAGACTTGGGTACATCACTGGAGGGGAAATTTATGGCAAAACAATGACAAATTTCAGTATGCAGTCAGACATCCAAATTTTGGGATGACAATAGAGGTGGGCACAACATACACTATATTGCCAAAAATATTGGGACGCCTGCCTTTACATGCCAATGATCACAGCAGGCATGCAGACCCAGGAACTCAGCACATAAATCTTACCAATAAGAATATAGTATAGTCAGACAAAAAGGACAGAAATGGAACAAATTGCCACTGATGTGGTTAGCTAGTTGCATCTTACCATGGGAAGATTCGGCCTCTCTTAGCATGCTCCGAGACTTCTCCTCCACTCTCCTCATCTGTTCTTCCAGGTAACGGTGGTCTTGGGTGTGCATTTGACCATTGATGGAACCAGTCAACTGCTGCAGTTGTCCCTTGTATGAAGCCATCTGGATAATCAAATAAAAATATGTGAATTTTGTCCAAAAAAAAAAAGTCACAACCTAAAACATCTCACTGTTCCTGGGATGGGTAAATGAGCAGTAATGGAAGGACAGATATACTTTCTCTTCCTAAAATATGCTGGTCCAGGTTTCCTACCTGCTTACACAACCAAAGCATTTGGCCATATAATCTGTGCCAAAGAGGAGAATCAGCTAATCAGCTGAACTCTGATATCTCCTTCTAGAGCAGGGGTGCCCATTAGGTAGATCGTGATCTACCAGTAGCTCTCAAAGCTGATGCTGGTAGATCACGAAGGGTGTGAATGGTGGCCCCTTTATTCCACTTTGGTATATTTATTTAGCTGTGCACACATGATTACCTATTAGCCTGAGTCTGCCGAGCCAAGCTCCCCGACGCCTTTCTGGTGGATACTGATGGTTGAAGTGATATGTATTACATCAAAGAATATTAGTTTACACAGCCTGTTGCACTGCACTGTTTGCAAAATACAGCCAGGTGGGCCAGGAGAGAGAGCGGAGAGTGACCGACAGGAGAGAGAGCAAGGAGAGACAGCCAGGAAAGAGAGGGAGGAGAGACAGCCAAGATGGCGAAGAGAGACAGCCAGGAGAGAAAACGAGGAATGACAGCCAGGATAGAGAGCAAGCGAGCGAAGACAGCCAGGATAGAGAGGAAGGACAGGCAGGAGGATGAGCAAGGAGAGAGAGCGAGGGAGGTTTTTTTTCCATTGGTAGATCTCAATGACCTCGCTATTTGAAAAGTAGATCTTAACACAAAAATTGTGGGCACCCCTGTTCTAGAGCATAGATCACATGACCAAATGCCCAGGCTTTTGGTTATGCAAGCATCACTCACGCGAACCTGGAGCAGTATGTTCTCCAGGAATGAAAAGCATATCAGTCCTTCTGTTGATCTCTATTTATCCATCCCAGCAAGGCTGTTAGCATAACTTTAGAATGTAGGTTCACTTTAATCACTGAGCCACCATACTAGGAACTTACCTTCTCAATGACTTGATTATAGCAGCTGGGGCACTGCGGCTGATCACAGTTTTCCCCACTAAATCCTGGTTTGCACAGACATGAGCCATCAGCCTGACACGAACCTTGCTGAGAGCCCACAGGGTGACAATAACACTCTGAGAAAGAGAACACACAGAGAAGTAAAATAAATGTTACACTCTAATTTCTATTGGGCATCATCTGAGCTCTAACTACAAAGGAGTTATTTGATTGCACTGTATTTTAATATTGTGTGATAAATGCCATATTTTTACTACATAAAAATATACATGTCTTAAGAGAAATAAGGAGTATTTCATTGCTAACCTGCTTCTGTAAATTCTAGTAGCCTGGCTGTTACGCTGAACCACTGGTCTCATACATTCTAAGCCACTGACTTTGTCACATATAGGCAGTCCCCGAGTTACATACATCTGACTTACATACGACTCCTACTTACATATGGAGGCTATTACTGTACAGCCTGGGTAGTTGTAATGCTACTGCGCTCCTGCAGACGAGGAGTGCCCGCCTTTATGGTGTCTGGGTCGTAGTGCTGTACATACATTACAAGAAGTTGGCTCATGTTTATGTGCAGACGAGGGGTGCCCTCCTCTTCTTCCGGGTCACTGTGAGGTGTTTAATGCTGTCTGTATCCTCACTAGGAAGATTTAATCTCATTTCCTGTCCTTGAGACAACCGGAAGTGAAAGCAAATCTGCTGTAGCTTTATCACCTTGTTTCCACGACAACCCAAATTTTTCAAAATCCAATTGTTGTCACAGGGACAGAAAGTTAGGTGAAATCTTCTGAAGAGGAGCACACACAGCAAAACAAACTTTACAGGGGGGTAAACCCTTCCCTATGCTATCCAAAACAAAACAAAAAAAATTGGGGCTGGAGCTACATTTAAAAAATGTACCTGTTCCAACTTACATATAAATTCAACTTAAGAACAAACCTACAGACGCTATCTTGTTCGTAACCCGGGACTGCCTGTGTATAGATCAGGAATGTCAGTCAAAAATCAGTCCTTATCTGAATACTTGCTTGGGGTCAGTGACTCAAAGTATGAAAGCTAGAGGGTTAAAATGACAGCCAGGCAATGTGAATATTTGTCGCGATTGAGAAGGAAGGGGGGCGCTCAGTGGACATAATTTGAACCAGCTTATCCTGAGGGAAAACAGTAGTAATTGGCTGGGTAAATCCAAGACCCAGCTGGCCAATACTATACACATCAGAAGTCACAACAGTGAGATATCTGGCAAGGCTGAGCATTGTATAGTCTCGTATGATTCCAGGACCACCATAATAGGCCTGGCAGGGCAAAATTGCTTTTATGCCTTTATTCACATTATAAGATAAACATTACTTGTCCATTTTAGCCTTGTCTGCATACAGGTGAAACTCGAATAATTAGAATATCGTGCAAAGTTCATTTATTTCACTAATGCAACTTAAAAGGTGAAACTAATATATGAGATAGACTCATTACATGCAAAGCAAGATAATTCAAGCCGTGATTTGTCATAATTGTGGTGATTATGGCTTGCAGCTCATGAAAACCCCAAGAACCCCAAATCCACAACCTCAAAAAAGTAGATTATTACATGCAATCAATAAAACAAGGATTGTACATAGAACAATATCGGACCTCTGAAAAGTACAAGCATGCATATGTACTCAGTACTTGGTTTGGGCCCCTTTTGCAGCACTTACTGCAATTACTTTTGCACGATATTCTAATTATTCGAGTTTGACCTGTAGAATAATGATAGCTGATGAAGATCCAGAGACACTAATAGCACAGCACCATCTTCTGGCAAGTTAAAGATATTGTAACTTTGAGTAAAGACATTGAGAGCACAGCTTTGCTTAAAGGGAAATACGACAGTTCAGGGCAAAACGACAGTTGTTTTAATAACACTCCTCCCTGCTCATAGTTACCTTTGCTGTGCTCCCCTTCTTCCCTATTTTTCTGTTGGAGCCCTTGTAAATATCCCATACCTCCAGATATGGGGGAGCATGTGACCTCCGCTTCCTCTCAGGATGCAATGCTTGGGCTTTAAGCAGCCAATCTCTATGCCACAACACTGTCATTTGGTGGAAGGTCACTAACAAGGGTGTGATGCAGAACTTATCTTACACATAGATTCTGGTCTACAGCAGGTGAACAGGGTGGTAGGGGAGCACGGTGAAGTGGGTGAGGAGGGACCTCCAAAGTGAACCTGCCACTTTGCCCTGAATAGGCAGATTAACAGATAGCCTTTAACGCAAACCTGTACAATGAGAAATGTGGAGGTTGCAATTGCTGGCCTCCTGAAAATGCTAGTTGCCTGGCCCTCTAGCCTTAGACAGTGATCCTGAAAAAGCATGCGGCAGGTGAAATCAGAACTCCTGATCTGCATACTTCTTCTAGGTCAGTATCTTATAAAGATCTAGAGCCACTGGATCAGCATGAAAAGGAGAGGTCAGGCAGACACATGAGTGATGTTGGAAGACATTACAGATTCACTTCATTTTTGCAAATTGCTTCTTATGTCCTCTGCTTTTTCCAATAGTTTCCATCAGACAAAAGAGTGGATATTTCATTTATCTTGGAAATGATTTATTAAAATTTGAGGAAAGAAAGTGCCCGTGTTACATTCAGCAATCAGTTGGAGTCCATGTCTTTTCTTAGTTTGTAAAATTTGGGAAGCAAGGATGAATCTTATGTAACACCTTCCAAACTTGTGGGAAATTAGTAGCAATAAAACAGATTTTTATTACTAGCTTATTAAAACAGGAACATTAAGAATTTACAAGCCTAATCCCGAGCCATTTTGTGCTCCATCAGCACTTCATATTCCCTGACAAAGAGCTGACTGAGTATGAAGCCGTCAGGTTATTGCATGCGTGTTTGTAATGTTCCAGTTTCAATAAAGTGACAATAAAATTGTAGCAATCCTAGATGTGTTACAGAAGAGCCATATTCTATTCTCTGCTGTCTCCAATCTGCATTAAAGAGAAGCTTTTCTTTTTCTTTATTATGACTTTCTATAGGCAAACTTCGCCAAAAACTGTCAGCTTTGGAAGGGTATTGCTGTGTTCAATTTCATGCCATTTTTTACCAAATCCTGGTAGATGAGATCTCCATGCAGTAGACTGTGACTCTGCCCCCTCCCACATGCGATTAATGAAGGTGTCATTGTCCATTAGCTGCACCTCTTTTTATAGTTATACATTAAAAGGAGTACATTCAATTGTCTTTTTATGGCTTTGGCAATTGTATAGAACTGGGCGAGTTATGATGCAGATATATTTCCTCCTGAGTTCTTAAAGGAGATTTATGAGATGAGTGATTTCCACTCACCTCATAGTTCTAGCCGACCTGTGACAATGAGACAGGTCGGCTCAGTAGATCGGGAGGTGAGTGAACATATACCGTCGTTCGCTCACCTCTCGATCCGCTGGATTCCCCCCTTCCCGCTCCGCCAGCGCTGACTGGCGGATCGGACGGGGGAGGGGGCGGGTACAGCTGGCAGCTCTAGATAGGCAGAGCCAGCTGTCACTCACGCAGCTGGGCGGATCTCGACGTCGATGTTGGGATCCGCTCCGGCTGTGGCATCTCAGTATACCGCGAGCTGTAGCTTAGGGTAACGGGAGGAAGCTAGTTTGTGTCCTCCCGTTACCCTAAGGAGAACTATGGGGAAAAGCCCTGACCCCATACTTCTCCTTTAAGGCAAGTTAAAAAAAAAAGAGGATGCCATTCAAGTTTCCAGCAACTACACAAAACTGGAACATCACCTATAGAGTGTAACCCCAGGATTTTTTGTTTTATTATCAGGCCCCCCTTTTAGTGCCAATAGTCCACCTAATAGTGCTTACCCTCTCCAAGCTCCAGCACTGCCCCCAGCTTCCTCTTCGCTCCAAGGCAGAACAACACTCCCTCATTTTGCCTATTTCCTGAGAGCCCTGCCTGTTTGTACACGCCCTAAAAGTCACATCATTAGGCAGGCAGGGGGCACAGTACTCCAAGACTCTAAGTGCCTGCCACCCCCACCAAAGTCAGAAGAAGAGCTGGGGATGATAACTTCAAAAACGTATAGGGCAGGGTAGGCACCCTTGGCACTCCAGCTGTGGCCAGACTACTAATCCAATTATGTATCTGCCTGTGCGAGTCATGCCTGTGGCTATCAGAGTCTTGCAGTACATCATGGGACTTGCAGTTCATCAACAGCTAGTGTGCCAAGGTTGTCTACCCCTGGTATAGGGGCTTTAACAATACTTTAACAATACTTCCACTTTAAGTGAGAGTGACCATTTCAAAGTTAAATCCGGTTGACTGGTGTTGGTCCTAGCATTTTGTATATTCCAAAAATAGTTAAAGCATCAATCCATGGGAAAGTGATATTATGTTCATATCAAACTGGGAGCTTTGGGGTGATCTTTCTGTTACACTGTCCACAGTATAACGTTAAAATTCCAGCAGAAAGAGAAAGAACCCCTGATAATGGGTAACATAGTGACTTAGCGGTTAGCATCGAGTCTACTGTACATTTGCAACGCTGACCAGAACACTATCTGTATCTAGTTTGCATGTTCTCCCTGTACTTGGATAGGTTGCCTCCCACACTCCAAAGACATGCTGGTAGGTTAATCAACTCCTGTCTAAACTTCCCCTTAGTATATGTGAGATAGAGACCTTAGATTGTAAGCTCCTTGAGGCCAGGGATTGATGGGAACGTACAGTATGTAAAAGTGCTGTGGAAATTGGCGGCACTTTACAAATACCTGTAATACATAAATAATGGCCACAGTAGATGTGCAGACACAGGTGCTGGAGCGCAGATATTGTGAAGAGGGTCAGGAGCTATAAATCATTCAAAGATTGGCCGATTCCCCAGCATCAACCATAAACCATAATCCCAGTTTTGGATGAAGTAGCCCCTTAATTCTACACTACATGTACAGTGTCCAGTGTGGACAGATGTAAATACCTCTGCACTTGTGTTGTGGGTTTGGATCCAGTGGGTTACCAAAGTAGCCTTCCTTGCATCTGTCGCAGTGGAACCCGGCTGTGTTCTGAAGACATTTCAAGCATTCTCCGGTCATGCGGTCACAGCTGCCCTCCACTGTGGGATCGATATTATTATTGCAGGCACAGGGTCTGCAGAGCCTAGGAGGTCCATTTTGTCCCTGGGGATCTCCGAAATATCCATCAGCACATATTTCACAGCGAGGACCTAGTGTGAAAGGTGACAGTTATAAGGGTTGTTCATAGTCTGATAACATTGCAGGGAGGGGCCACCCGACTGCATATAAATGGAAGGTATTATATAGGTAGGCCCTCACACTGCAAAGTTCTTAATAGATCTTATCGTAAGTGTTTTTGCGCATTTAAACGTGCATTCTTCCATTGCCCGTAATGTTTCATGAACTGCCAGTCAAAACATGCATCAAAATGTGCACAACGCGCATAAACACGCAAGTAACCGCATGCTGCTAATGCGTGTACAACCGCGCAAAAACAGTGCCGCCTAGGTGCAGGGACGTCCCGAGGCTGGGTGACACCCGGAGCGGTAACCGAGTGTCACCATGCCTAGGTGTGATCCCGGCCTTCTACATTTTCTTATATAATTAGCTCTCATAAGTCGCCCTTTTTACATCAGAACTCCGGAGACAATTATTCTGAACCCTTACACTGGGGTTACCTGCAACCTAACTGCAAGGGTTAAGTGCTCGTTTTTCTCTAGGTACAAAAAGAACAATACGTTATATAAGTTATACTCACCCGATCCTTCAAGCTGTCTTGCTCCTAGTCCCTGGAGCCTGTCTCCTTCTCCGCTACAGCGATGGTATATCACTCGGTGTCCTCAAGTCCTATACGCTGTGTATAGAATGTGATGACCACACAGGACCTTAGACCGTTGCAGTGGAGGGGGAGCGAGGCGGAAGCTGCCTGTCTAAGAGCCAGCCAGCTTGAAGGATCGGGTGACTATAACTTTATTATTTTTGAAGGTAGACCAAATTGAGCAATTTTGAGTAGCCCCACTGCAAGGGTTAAGAAAAAATGTCCCCGGAGTTCTGATTTCAACATCTCAAGAGAGAAATATAGGGGCTGGTATTGGCCTGACAGCCAGTCAACTAGCATTGTCAGAAGGAGATAAGCAATGGCATGTTATGCCCATGACTGGTTTTCATTGCTGACTACAGTCTACTGAAAATGCTAGCTACCTGGCTGCCATGCTGATGCAATGGCTTTAATTAGATTACTGATCTTAGAACAAGTATGGAGGTGTGAGATTAAGAGTTCACTGGCTGCATACGTATTTCAGATCAGTGATTCAGAAAGCACTAAAGTCAGGAAACTAGCGTTTTTAGAAGAGGGTAAGCCTGGCAGCCGACAGGTTTCATTTAGGTAATTCATAGCATTTTCCTTTGTGCAATTCACATCTCACTCACTAGGGTGTGCTGTAACACAGACTTGCAACTCAAGTTAAGAAAAGGGTATAGAGTAGACTTTCCCTGTGCGTAAGTGTGTGCGTGCGTTTGTGCGTGTGTGCATGCACAGTCATTGTTTAAAATATAAAAAAGTGTTTTGAATCTGGTACTGACTATGGCAAGCTAAAGAAATATCTATATTCATTTACAGCCACTAGTCAGGTTAAAGCTCAACTCCGAGCACAAAAACATTCATTTAAATATAGTTCTTAATAGTCATACAGGATACTAATTCACTCTGTGTGCACCAAATGCCTTTACAAACCCAGTTATTATCTGTAAAAGTAGCAGTGACATCATCCCTGTGCTGCACAATGGTCTGTGCAGATAGCAAAGCTGCATTAGGGACCCAGCAGGCCCCACCCACTGCAGGCTGCCTGCAGAATATTACAGGAAAGGGCGGAGACAAGACCAGCCAACCTGCACAAGGAGAGAGAGCAGCAGTGAGCGGTCTGTATTACATAGGGTCGGATTTAATTGCGCTGGGCAGCGGGACATAGGAATTCCACACCCCTGCTGCCCCTCTACTCCCTGCTGCCCCAAGGCTGGGCCTTGGTTGGGCTTGTGGGAAATCCGGCCCTGTTATTACAGGAAGCTCCTGCACAGAAGCAACATTTCACACTGGATTGCTGCACAGACCTGGAAGAAATACACAAAGCACACCAAGATTCAGGTAGGAATACCCATGCCTCTTATATTTACATCATATTTGCTGATCCCGGAGTGCAGCTTTATTACCTGCATTGAAAAATAACAGCAAGTCTGATCTGACTGGTGTCTCCAGGGAAACACTTACAGTCCTTAACCAATCAAAATCTGTCTTTATATTAAGCATTTGGAGGATAAAAACTAATTATCGTCTTTGCCCCTTTGGCAAATTTGTGATTCTGCGTCTGGAATCGTTCTATTCGGTGGGATGGGGATGGGAAAGCCATGTGAGAACATACCACTGAGCCTAATTGTTCTATTCAGAGGATAGATGTGGAACAAGCCAGAAAATAAATCCTGCAAGTGAAAACATGAAAATATGGGATGATCACAATTTGGCAGCACCAAATAATCCCAGGCGTTGGATGTGAGAATTCAGAATGTGTATAGCTGTGATGAGCAAACAGCAAAGACTGAGCAAAGTGGGGAACTATAGCAGCCAGTCAGATTTCAGTTTACAGATGACCACTCAACAAAAGATTCATTCTGATTGGTTCCTTTTTGAATAATCCCAGTAAATGGGGAGCAGAGTATCAACATGCCACTGTTAGGGCCCCAGTATGCGCCAAAAAAAGAAATAGCATAATTAAGTATCCAGTGACCCAATACTTGATTGGGTGCTGCTGATCTGGAGTCCAGAAATAGCACGTAGGTGCTGCTGCTGTCTAAAGGTGCCCATACACCTTGCGATTATCGTACGATAATCGCGGGGAAATCCCGCGATCGTACGATAATCGCAAGGTGTATGGAAGGTGTACGATTTTACTGTACGGTCGCACGTCTTTTGTCAAACCAGCAGGCTAGGTTTCTAGCCTGCTGGTTCGACAACTGCGGAACGGGCCGGTGTGCGCACGCACACTGTCCATTCAGCATTGCGGTCATCGTAAGCCTGCCCCTCAGCGGGGCGGGCTTTTCGATGATCGCAAGTACGATCTGCCTGTCCAAGATGGGCAGATCGCACGAGCTTTTAAGGTGCCCACACACCTTGCGATAATCGTACGATAATCGAGGGAAATCCCGCGATCGTACGATTATCGCAAGGTGTGTGGAAGGCGTGCGACCTCTGCTATTGTAAGGTCGCACGACTTTTATCTTAGGAACATGTTCGAGAACCCTCAGCGGGGCGGGCTTGCGATCATCGCAAGTACGATCTGCCTGTCCAAGATAGGCAGATCGTACGTTTTTTTAATTACCTTACAACCATCGCAAGACAAAAGTCTTGCGATGGTTGTAAGGTGTGTGCCCAGCATTACCCCGAAGCTCTTGCAATAAATTTGGACAAAAGTACAACACCTTTTAAAGCCCCACCAAAAATCAAAATTAACACAAAATAAGAACATTTCTGGGTATTGCATTGCTACTCACCACCCAGTCCCACAGGACAGTTGTCACACACAGGCTCTTGTGTCTCTGGAGACAACGAGCAACCAACTCCAACACTGCATGGACATGGGAGGCACTTCTGGGGGTCACGAGGATCATTATACTGCCCATGAGGACAGTCAGCGCAGTCATTATTCTGATTCTCATCTCCAGAGTAACAGTCACCTAATGAGAAGTTCCGAGATGAAAGATTAGGAAGAGATATGAACATGACTACAATAGTGAGCAGACAAGAAAGTGAAAAGATATTCACCAGTTTCTGGGTCACACAGGCCTCCTCCTTGGCATCTGCAGGCAACACAAGGACTGAAGGGTCCCAGTGCCGGAGACTCCCTGCGATATCCTGGGGCGCATTGTTCACAGAAATGGCCTTTATATCCAACAGGGCATTGACATTTCTCCACCCAGGGTGCTGGCTCCCCAGGACCAGGACGAGCAGAAACAAGAGTAACGCTTTGGATGTACCCAGTGCCTATGAAGCATAACAAGGACAGAGATTACTCAACTGAAACAGTACTGTGCACCAACTGAGCTCAATGAAGTCAGTATGGAGCAGATTCTACAATAGTTAATACATACACAGTGCAAAGAGCAATATGGAACAACTGATCCCAACCAGTCATATTAGGGGCTACTGATCTTAGCCTATATAGATTTGGTATTTATATAGCACTGACAAGTTATGCAGCCTTTACATATGCACATTCACTTCAATCCCTGCCTCCAAGGAGCTTACAATCTAAGGTCTGTATCTCACATGCATACTAGGGCCAATTTAGACACAAGCCATTTAACCTTCCAGTATGTCTTTGGAGAGTGGGAACCAGAATACGCAGTGGAAACCCACACAAGCACAGGGAGAACATGCAAACTTCATGCAGATAGTGTCCATACCAAGATTTGAACCGGGGACCCCCAGTGCTGACCAATCACTAAGCCTAGAGAGATTCCTCATCAATACTTGCATTGGTGAACATTTTAAAATGGGCAAGTGAGGGGAAATCTCCGCAACAGGGACAAAGGCAACAATAATAAGCTAATAACATTTATAATTTTTATTTTATTTAGTGTAGAGTCACCTGGATCCAGGCTTTACTTCATAGTGAGTAACCGGTCTAGAACAAACATGTATGACAAATATTCCGAATTTTTTTAGGCTTCACTGGCTAAATGATGGCTGAAGGTCAGCAACTTTCTAGGTAATGCAGCCTGGATCGGGATGACAGCTCTGAAAGTTGCACCTTTAATAACTATGTCAGCAATGGTATCTACCATACTTCTATATTCACAGGTTCACTTTATGGACTGCTGGGAAGCTCAGCGTTTTTTTCGCATTCACTGTTTTTAGGCAGGTCATACCTGACCCATAGGTTTGAATGGAATGTAAGCACTGATGTTAAAAAACTGACATTTGTCCTTAACACTAACCCATTCATGTATATCTTATTAAGGATAGATGTTTTCATTACTTACTGTACTCTCCATAGGTGGCACGAATACGCAGGGCAGTCACATTGCTTAACAGGCGTCGGAAGTCTAAGTGACTTATACGAGGGGTCCAAGGGCTGAAAGTCATCTCATCCAATCTGTTACAGCAACAAATCAATGAGACAATTAGGAAACAATAATATAAAATGCAATAATATGCTGCAGCTTCAACACAAACAAGATTTGCCACATACTGTTGTTTTTTCTTGCTGATTGCACAGACTGTATAATATATATATGGCCAGAACTTTCTTTCCATTGAACGATGAAGGAAAAATTGCAAGAAGCGTATGACCATCAAAAGCTGGTCCATGCTGTATCTAAGATCACCTGTGACTTTTTCTGGTCTGAAGGTGTTATGCTTGGAACTAATTTTTTGCAGTGTTTTGTACCCTTTAAAGGGCACCTGTCATGAGTGAACTATGCAGTCTGCCACTGCTAGTATCCACCTTGGAGAATATTAGTTCCTTGACTGTCATGTGGATGCTTTGTCTGATGATTTCTGAGTTAGTGACCTGGATCGAGTATACAGGAAAGGATACGGCCTACTTTTCTAGCACTCATTTACAGCTTACTCTAGCCGCGTCTCTGACTCTGTAAAGCCAGAATCCTGTGGAATAATGTTCACAGTCGCAGACTAATAGTGTAAGTGATTAGAAATCAGTGGAGCTTGAATCGACAGGTTGGCATTGAAAGGTGCATAGAACAGCACATAATATGAATATTACAATGTGATTGTGGCATTAATGTCAGCTCACCTGAATGTGTAGATTTGCGGCAATCTGCAGGGCAAGGCAGTTTTGGATGAGGTAAGAGGAGCAGTAACTTTCAGGCCTCCTCCTTCCAGTACAATATCTTCAACACCAGCTCTATGACGCCCTCGGTCCACACGGAAGCTGATGGTTAGCACTTGGCCATAGCTATTAGATTGGTCCCCTAAGAATGCTCCTGTAAGAAGATGAGGCTTAAATTGAGGATCACATGTCCCAAAATAGGTTGGTTACTATTCAGCTAGTAAAGCAGAATAGTCTCAAGTACAAAGGCCCAACAGCTAAAAAAAGTTCCACCCTGATCACTAGGTCTAATACTTACTGCATTTATTGTTATTTCAGTGGCTTCACACAATAAAAGGCCAACTGCACCCAAACTAATACTTTATCCTTAATGGCTGGTAACATGTTGGCTTCGTGTATCTCTTGGGGATAGGATAATTAAAGTATAGCTAAAGGCCAAATCTTTTTTTTTGTTATAGTGTGGGTCAGAGTTAGAACTCCTGTTGGGTTTTACTTGGTGTTTTTGTCCCCGCTAGGGAGATTCACCTTCTTTTTGGGCCCTGATGACCATTGTCTTTGGAACTGGAGATAAGAAAATCAAACATTTTGAGTTGCCACCAGAACAGAGAGAGAGAGAACATTTCCCAATGGACATCTGTCCATGGAACTGTCTAAGAGGAGGCTTACCTTACTCCCTGTTGTATCTACAGGCCAGGAGGTGAGATTAAATCTCTAAAATAGGATATAAATGGGAAAAACTGACAGGAGGTTTTAACTATTCCCTATTCAATCCAAAATGGAAAAAAGTTTTGGATTTAGATATACTTTACAGATGCAGACATTGCCAAGTCAGATTATTGGTTACATCCCCCACCCATCCAATGGATTCTCTGCCATGGGAAATTAATGGAAAACTGGGCATCGAGATACAAAATGTATTTATTCATGAGATACCATGTAGAGAACATGTAGCTGCATCGGAGCAACAATATAAAGGAACAAGTAGAATACTCAGGGATATTTTTTATCTGCATGTACTTTATATTTCTCAGGACAAGCTTTTAATAGCTCTTCTTTCTTCATCAGGTCCTGACCTAATGATAAGGCTGAAGTCCTGAGACAAATTAACATGTATCAAAATGTAAAACAAATAGCAAACACATGAAAAAATGTACAGTTAGCACAAATAAGCTCGCAATTTGTTCTCCTTTTTACAGAATACTGTGACAATGATACCCTACCTGGGGCATTAAAATAAAGGGGCTCCAGCTGTCGTGATGCAAGATACACCTCTTTCTGGTGGCGGGACATCCGGATGGGGATTGATGCTGGGGAACCATCTTTCAGGACTGCTGTCCATCCTTCTACACCTATAGGAAATATAAGATATATAACACCAAACAGGCAGAAGAGATGAACTGTGGAAAACAAAAAATCTGGACAGGGAGATTATACTTACAGAGTATTGAACTAGCTGATAGGTATAAATGACTCCTAAACCTAACATACACACTAAACGCCTTACAGATAAAACCTTACAGAATACATGTTAAAAAGTTCACATAGATTATTAGAACTTGGTTCAACATCTTGCTGCAACCTGTTTGTTTTTACATTGACAGCCATTATAGGTTTGGGAGAGACTAAGGAGAAGATGGTTATTATGATTTACATCAGAATAACTGGAGACCTCAAAGAGACGCTGTCAGCAAACCAATAATTTCAGCAAAAATCTTCCCATGAGTTTAGATGTGCATTTACTATATTTTATGCATATTATTTACCTATAAAAATCTCCCTTGTGTAGACATCCAAAAGCCCAGAGACTGCTCTGGGATCCGCCATCTTGGATGTGATGTCAGCAGCCCCAGCAGACTCAGAGCAGTCACTCAAGTGACACTCTATAACATTCCTCTTCTCTCCTCCCCCAGCTGCTACATAAAAGGTTATGTAGGGAGGTAAAGGGAAGGGTAATTAGACACCGCCAGAAGATAAAAGGGCTATGATGTACAAAGAGGGCAGGGGCTAGGTAACTGAATTTCAGGGAGTAGTCACATTTTCTAGCACAACCTTTCCCAATCAGGGTGCTGTGACACACTGGGGTGCCTCCTGACTTCCTCAGGGGTGCCTTAAAATTTTGTGATGGTGGTCGTGATGTGAAGGGGGCTTTGGATGTGAAGGGGGACTATAATGTGAAAGGAGGCATCTGATATGAAAGGAGGGGCTCTGATATTAAAGGGGCTCAGATATAAAGGGGGGAAGGCTCTGATGTGAAAGGGCACTTCTGATGTGAAGAGGGCTTCTAATCCAAGGGGGGCTATTGATGTACAAAAGGATTCTAATGTGTAAAGGGAGGGGAGCAGGGGTCTGATGTGAATGTGGCATCCTAATTGGAAAGGAGGACTTTGGAGTGAAGGGAGGAACCCCGCTCTTTTGTGTTTTTGTGTGGGGTCCCCCCTTACTATCCACTATATTTTAGACTGGGGTGCCTTTTAAAGACATATATTTAAAGGGTGACAGGGTGACTAAATTATAATAGTCTTCAAACATGTGCAGTTCTGATGAGCTAGTAAGATGGAGTCAACAAACAAAAATGGAAAGCCCCCCACTGAGACTAACATGTCCTAAGCAGCTTACACTAAATCAGTGGGGTAAATAGGAAACTCACTTCCTGACATAACATGCTTTAGAGGAAGTTCACACAGCAATGACATATATAATGCACTGGAGGCTCACAATGGTATAGTGATGCATACCGGGGGCTCCCACAGAGTAATCTCACAATGGTATAGAACAATATATGTGAAACCCATGCTGAGTTGCACTATGACTGCTTAGTTAAGACTGTAGTAGTCCACTTTCATTTTTCATTTTATAGAGGAATAATCAAGTGATTGGTCGCTGTTGGTAATATCTCCACTTCTTCAACTTTCATCATCAGTTTTTAGAACTTAGCAACACTGCCTCAGTATTTGCACACATCTGTGACTATAGCAGGGTATACAAGTCTATGATCAGACACTTGGCAACATGGCACCCCTTCAGTCCTTGTGTTTAATCATTCATATTTTGAACAAGGAAAATCATTAATTGCAAAAAGCTTATATCAACCAATACTCTTTAGATGCCCAAGGGCAGGCCTAAAGTGGACTCATATCCAAATGTTAACTAAAGAAAATTCAGGTTTGCTTAAATAAAAGTAATAGTAGAAACATGGTGTTACCTGATCTTAGGCAGGACATTTAATATTTGCAATGGACAACAGATTTACTTTAAAGCTATCTTTTCAGTTTTGTTGGGCTGGATGAATAAAGGAGAATAGAAGGGAGGAGCCTTTACTTTTCAAGGTGAAAATACAGCTAAATGCTCCTTTCAGTCCTGCTCACATTTTGGAAGACACTTGGTCATGTGACCTCTACTGAAGAGAAGGATTAGAGTTGAGACTGGCTAAAATTACAAGTTTAGGGAACAGAGGTCATATGATTAAGTGCCTATAGTGTAGCATTGGTAAATATCTTAGTTCTTTTGTGACTTATTTACTTCTTGAAGACTGTATTGCCAATACTTACAGCAGCTCATACTGAGGCAATATATATATACAGCTATTTATAATGACATTTGGAGTTTATTGGTCATATATAAGGATATCTGATTGTTTTCAAGTCACATTAGGGTATGTTTTGCACACACACAGTGAGACTGTTGCACAGCTTTGCTAAATCTGTGCAGCAATCTCTTACTACATATAGGTATACTGGCATTTATAGTGTTAACCTACCTTTCTCAAAGTCAGATGTGATCTTGTGCATGCTGTAATCAGTGGAGCTGTGGCAATTGGATGAGTGGCCATAACAGAAACACTGCAAACATCCTTCTGATCGGCCAGCTTGAAGGTCATAATACCCAGGCTTACATCTGGAGGAGACACCAACACAATAGATTTACACACATGAACTGGAGAAATGTATAAATGAGTAAGTTTACCTGGCAAAGTGTATTATAAATTCCACAATAACTTGCTGTCCCGCACATGCGGAGTCTCTTCCAGTTTCTTCTGTATCAGAGGTCCATGGAATTGGCTTGGAAGCTACATATTGCTCTAACCTCTAATAGACGTTGCTTGTAGCAGGGACTGTGCATATGCTCAGTTCCTGTCTGGCTAAACAACTGCTGATTTAAACCATAAGAAATGCATATAGTGCAGTGCTTTAGGCAGAAGGGCATTATGCTGGCTATACACCTATAGTTTAACTGCAGATTTCTGTTGCACTTTTTCCATCTGACCATTGAAAGTCTGCAGATCATCTATAGGTGCATGGCCAGCTTAAGGACATTTTTGTTAGCTTAGACTGGCTCACCACCAATTTGTAAACCTGATGGATAAAGTCTGAGTCTTCATTATTCTTGTCTACTGTAGTATTTGCCATTTCTCCAAGTACACTGAATACCTAATTCCAAGGAAAATAATAACTGCAAGTGTACCTCCATTTAGGAAACAGGAACGACTCGCATCTTTTTATATTTGGAGTTGGCCATTATATGGCTAACCTGTGGACAAGGTGCAATCAACTTCACACCTGTGGGGAGGTGTGTTTCAGTATATATCTGGTCTATAGGAACTTTACCTCTATGACTAAGCCTTATCGGTGAAACGTGTAAGAGGGTTTCGGTTGTGCTGGGGAGCTTGAGTTGGTGTATACACATCTTTGGAATACAATAAAGTTGGGAGATATTTGTCAAGACCTGTGGAGTGCGGCCATGTATGGATTGAATTTGTTTATGTTGAACCATAGATTAGATTGGAGCAGTGAGATCTTTTGTAATTTCTATGCAAGAGTACGCTGCCATACATCGTTGTTCCATATCTTATAATAATATTATAAGTTTTAGCTATCATATAATATGCTCCTCAAATTCCTACCCATTTATAGCATCAGTAGCTGGCCATGAAGGTTACAATCTGAGTGCACTATCTATTAAGTTCAGACAGAATAGTCAGAAGTCTATATGTGCGTGGGTGGACTCACAAAAGGTTTAATGTGTTCATAAACTTTTTATTACATCTTAGCAAATTGTAAAGCTGGAGACATGTTTTACAATCTCTTCCTGTAAGCAGTTGTTTTATGATGTTGTACTTCATAAATTGTACCATACGATTGTGATGTGGGTCCAGCTTAAGCTATAACTTATATTTATATTATATGATATAAATATATACATTTATTTTTGTCCTGTGGTTATATATTTTTAACTGTTTCCTGTAATGTAGCCCCCATTAGGTCATACCATGCTGTTTTCATATGTCATTCTCTCCAATTCCATCAATCAATATTCCCCTCACATTAAGTTTTTGTGTTATCTCAGATAAGTACAGAAGTCTGTAAAGTTCGACATACCGGTCACAGCTCTCTCCAGTGACATTGAATTTACAAACACATTTGCCATCCTGGTCACAGCTTCGGCTGCTGCCTGCTGGGTCACAATAGCAGCCTTGGCGCCTAAACAGAGAGAGAAACAGGGAATTCATTTATATGGAGATGTCTCATAGTTAACCTGCACTGATATGGATCAGATCTTTTTCTTGTTAATTAAAATATTGACACACACTGACAGATTTTCATTCAGAAATTTATAGGCAAGTACAAGGAAATAAAAGTGTCTTCTTAAAAGGCATATAAGCTGAGAAAGAAAAAAAAAACAGGTTCCAGCACCACCCACCTTTTTTGCACTCCCAGCTTGTCCTTTTGTAAACTGCAGTGGCCCACCGAGACATATTTTCTACTATTAAGCAGCACCCTAACCATGCCTGCTGTTGGGCCTCCTGTTTATAATTGAAACGTGTTTATGCTGCTACCTGAAGTGCTTTCTAATGTTTTCATACCTTATCTTATGCTCAAACAATTCATCCGCACACAGCTACCTCCTCATGTATCACTTGACCCTCCCTTTTAGATTGTAAGCCCTCAAAGGCAGGGCCCTCCTTACCATCTTGTCTTGAATTGTATTGTACTTGTAATGTCTTCCTTACATTGTAAAGCGCTGCGCAAACTGTTGGCGCTATATAAATCCTGTATAATATTAATAATGCTCATCCCTGTAATGTATGCTCATGTATGTAACTATTAAATGATTAAAACTAAAGATGAAGTAATTGAAACAGAAAAAGTACCAAGAAATTGATAAGCTCTTAGGAGAATTAATTTTTTACAAAATGTTTAGGAACCAGAACAGGAGATACCTGAAGTAAATTCAAGAATTCCTGAAAAAACAGTACTTCTATGCTGCATTTTGGGAGATTTGCAATTTAATAATGATATATAATTACCTAACAATTCATCACTGTCTTCAGACAGTTCCCTGCTAGTATGGTAAAGGTAAGCTGGCAAATCTCAGCAAACTGTTAGCATTCTCCTAAAACTACATTAATGCACTGTAACTGTTAAATGAATTCCCCTCTTAGAATGCTCATACACAAGCAGTTTATCTGAAAGAGCAAATCCTGTGTTGATAGCTGCCCATCTATGGTCCTCCTAGTTGGGACAGAAGATGTGTTTGCTGTTTGTAAGCAGTTTTTTACAACCACTTCCAATTCTTCCACAGCATATGGACCTTCATCATCCCACCTCAGTCCAACAAACAGGAGAAAGGTGATATGGTTTCATGATTCTCACCCCACTAACAATTACAAAATCAAATGAAAGTTCCAAAAATTCTCTAACAAAATTCTACTGGTGTATGGCCATCTTTTAGAGCTATTGGTCCTTTAAGAGCTATAGCATCATATACTCATGAAGATGCTGAAGAGAGTTCTGTTGTTATTGAATACAAATATAATCTAGGACTGTTAGTGGAGGCAATTACCAGGTCACAGAGTAACCTAAGTGTATCCATTGTCCCAGAACCATTAGTTAGAATTTAGGTGGTACGTAGTGGGGTTGCATGGAAAAAACCTAGTAATAATAGAACAAAAGTTGCTGATTTAGGTTTATAGAAAAAACAAAAACCTGACCTGAGGTATCTAACCACATGTAATATACTGCCAGCTTACCTGCATCCACTGTCACTGAGCGAATTAAAACCAGGCTGACACCGGTCACACTTCTCACCCATCACCCCAAGCTTACAGCTACACCGTCCAACGTTATCACACTGGGTATTGAGAGAGCCTGTCAGGGACAAAAATAAAAGTTATAATCAAATCATTGTCAGGTCTGCTCTCATTCTCAGTAGGGTAAGTATTCATTAGAGTGGTGAGAACAGAAGTAAATTTGTCCACGCAAGTAACTAACTGATTGGACACTGCTTTAGATTTGCCAACAAGAGAGAGGGTATACTTGATTAAATGTTAACTCAACAAATTGTTTAGATAGGGCCTCGGCCTACAGAATCTTTATATCTAAAGGAGAGTGTATATGGATTGTACAATCAGATGGCAACATGTGGCTGCTGTAGCATTGCTCACATCTAGATAAAATGCATCTGAAGTCAATGATTTCAGCCCAAGTTAGATCCTTTATAATGAGTGTGGCATATTTGTTACAATATAAGGAATGTTAGCTTCCATGCATTAAAATGCATGTATAAATGTATAGCCAAAAGGTCTTTGTAGTTTTGGATAGAAAAGGGAAAAATTAGAACTTATTGCTGTCAGTGTCTCTGTTAGGTATTCTCTCTATTTGTTTTGGAGACCTCCATCACTGAGACAGAAAGTGATGGGAAATCCTAAATGTTAGAGTTGGCATCAGAACCAGAGGTAAGGGGCAAATTGCAATGGGGACAGCTGTTCTGGTGACAACTGTCTAAGAGGGGAATTCCCCTCACTTTAGAGAGATTTCTTCTCACTTCTTGTAGCTTCTGCGGGAAGTGAAGGGAAATCAAGACAGACATATTGGAAGGGAAGAGTTAGCAACTCTGCTATGTGTGTCTTTGGGAAGATTTGTCCTCTTTTTTTTTTTTTGTAGTATCCATTATCAGCTGGACTAATGATGAAGAAAAATCCAACATTTTGAGTTGACACCAAAACAAGAATAGAGAAAAAACGTTCAAATGGAGAAACGTGTGTTGGGAACTGCTTGACAGAGTATCTTTGGAAAGATTTCCCCTCGACTTCCTTTTGCTTTTATCAGGCAGGATGTAAAGATAAATCTTCATTATGACAAATAAATACATTCCCAGGGGATTTCATCCTTCCCTACTCTATCCAAAACTAAAACTAAAGAAGGAAAAGAAAAGCGTGGCTATACATACACTGAGAATCATCAAAATAAAAATGTAGTGGCTGGAAAATCAGCATGAATGTTTGGTACACCTTTATTGAAACCATATCTCTATAAAATAGAGCATTATAAACTATAATACGCAGTAAAAACTTGCTATAAATATACAGCGAAGCATTGTACAGAATATCTTTTATTCCTAATCTGGTAGAAGTAGACATTAATAATAATAAAGCAGACAACTGTTAATGTTCGTGTCTATTAAGGTATTTATGTGTCTTTAGAAACTTAATGCAAAGCATAAAGAAAATAATAATCAGAACAATTAAATCTGGTTTGTGATTGGGTACCAGGAGTTAGAAGATTCTACTGCATGTCTTTTTTTGTAGTGATTCACTAGTATGTGAATTACGAAGTGTGGAAAATACCACTATTAGTTTCATAGAGCTAATGTGAACGTTGGAAAGTAAATAAGGAGACAAAACTTTCCATTAGAGAGACCCTATTCTCCTTCCTGGGTCACACTCCAGGCCCATGTACGATCCACAGGCAAACATTTTTTGGGAGATGATAAGCCTATTGTAAGATTGGGATATTTTGTCAGCCAATTGCTCTACCTTGCTGTGACATCTGTCCAGTTTTTGCTGTGTCTGGTCACTCTTCCATCCTCCTTCCATAGACATTAACATTCATAGTTCTAATGAATACATACCTCTAATATGGCATTGACAGGGTGCACAGGTTCCTCCAGGCTGTGGATAATACCCATCCTTGCAACGCTCACAGTTGGGTCCATCTGTTCCTCCAGTACAGTCTAGACAGCGGAACCCAGAACCTGTCTGGGTCTGCAAATCTGTATCGAACACACAGCGCTGGGATCGCCCATTACAGTTGCAGACTGAAAAATGGACTAAAAAAAAGACAAAAGGAAAACAATGTATAGTTTATGATGATTAAAATTTAAACATTTACACTATTGTTTTATACAGCAGTGAAAAGAGCAAAGGTGATGTTCAATGTGCAGTCATCCACAGCCATCATCATTTCTTCCCAAACAGTGGCACATTGGCTCCAGGGTATTTCTGATGGCTTAAATGGAGACATTTGCTTCTTATAGGGAAATGCAATATAACTGTGTGTTAGAGTGTTAGCAAACATATACATATTAAGATGTATAGCATTGTTTGGAAAAGCACAGCTAGAGGCTTCTTGTAATATATGCAATCCAGTACTTAATTTTTGGTGACTATCTCTGAGTACACAGTAAACAGTAACTTTCACAAAGGAACATAATTTGAAATAAATTTGAGACATGCTGTGTCGCGTCAGAACATTCATAATCTAGTATAGGCTATGGCGCGTTGCGGTTTGCCTGCATATAATCATATAAAACGTACAATAATTAGATAAGTTATCTAAGGCAACCAATTAAATTTCAGTTATTTATCATCTGTCTGGTTGCAATGTGTTAGTGAACATAATTGTTGTTTGAACAGATAACCTATAATACATGGCTACCATTACTGAACTGCAAATGTAAATTTTCTGTCTGTCTCAGTGTTCAATACTTTTTGAGTCCCTGACCCAGAACATGCATACAGACCAGAAAATCGAAGTGAAGTCAGGGCACACTAATCTCCATATATGTTACTTGCAGTGCTTAGGGAAAAAAAGAATCCTCTGGGTCAGCATGAAAAACAGAGAGAAAGCATTATATGATGGAGAGGTCATCAATGGCAGCCTCCATAGTCTATATACATCAAACTGCAATATAACTTAAAAAGTGCTAAATGGTGCTTAAAACATGGTAACATGACCTCTCAACTAATGTTATCACATGTCACTTTAGCATGCCTTAAGCACTATTTAGTTCTTCTTAACTGATGATGCAGCTTGATAAATCAGGGCTGGTTTTTTTCACTGCAGATCTTAATTTTAGAAGGAACGAGCAACCATTAGGAAATCAGTCACTGAGGTAATTGAGCAGAGGTAAAACTCAAGCTGAAACATGATAACATTCCAGTCCCATTAGACGTGATCCAATAGGAGCAGTTCTGCTCATATAATAGCCAGTCCCACCCTTGTAGACACAAGTGATTAAATTCTCCTGATGAATTCATATACGTAAAGGGTAGTAATTTTGTGTGTCAGAATAACAGAAGCTGCAGAAAAGAGGGCTTGCAGTGATTTCCACTACAGGTATCATTGGATATTTTGAGCCTTGGACCCACTAGAGGGCTTCTCCATTGTCCAATCCTGATCACATTGTTTGATATGTATTGCCACATTTGTACTAATGTCAGTGCCACAAGGACTGTGTTGCTCCAAAGCTGTAGTAAAAGTATATCAAAAGCCAAAACCTTTTTTTTTTTCATTTCAGATAGTATAGAGAACTCTCATTGGGTTTTCATTCCTGTGTGTGGAATACAAACCGTAAAATATAAAGTTGACAGGGGTTTTAAATACCCCCGTCTCCATCATAACCGTTATTTACAAGTTTTGGCTTCAGATATGCTTTACGTTTGCAGCACTTTTACCATTGTCATATTATTTGAAACAGATACCTGCATTATGTGTAAGGACAAATTTACACCTTTTACGGCTCGCGGCATTGCATTAACGTATGTTATGTTGGATATTAATGTGTGCTGTGTTAAAGTGACATTAAACTCGGGAGTTACATTTTAAAAATGCATTCATGTACCTTAACTATTAACAAAAATGTATCTTATTTGTGTATCAAATAAGTAGATCCTCAAATCATCTCTGAATTGGTGTTGACACTGTCCTTCCTTCTGTAGGGGGCTACTTTTGTTCCTCATGGTCCCTGTGTGTTGTAAAGTAGCCATCGATTCAAGATCGCTCCCGTGATGGACTACAATCTCAATACATATGATATTAGTAACATAATATATGAGATTGTAGTTCATCATGGGAGCGAGTTTGGAGCGGTGGCTACTTTACAACACACACAGGGACCATGGGGAACTAACAGAGCCAACTAACAACTCCTTTAAAATGAAAACCCTGGCAATATATTGTAATATGAGTGGGATAATTTGTGCTGATCCTCAAAAGTTGTTATTTTTTAGATATGATCAATGAAAAGGTATGTGGTAAAGCTAACGCCTGTCTATCCCTAGCAACATTCGTTTGGATATTATAATAAGTTAGCCATAGGATTTAGAAGGGACATGGGAGCATGATATGCTAAACAATCCTTTCTTACCATTAGTGCATTAACATACATACTTTTGGCTGCGTTAGTCTTGTTGTGCAATTGAGCAGAGAGAACACACAACCTTTGCTTTAGCCTATTTTTGAGGAGCATGCCAGGACCTGATCCATATTATGTCGACATGTACAATCAGCGTGATAGAATCCTGAACAATGATCTATGGCAACCAATTAATAGCCATCGTCCACTGATCTGCTTCCACTAAAGACTGATTAGCAGCTATTTCTGTGTTTACACATTAACCCTGCTATTTGCAGCACCTACTTAAATAAGCCAACACCGAATAAGCTAATATCAGCTACCACAAGCTGATATTTTTACTTTTAGATGTAAATGGGAAAATGCTAAGTCATTTATCAGTGCTCCTTCAGTGGTTCTTTCCATATTCTCCTCATATAGTCTGTAGCATATAGCGAGGTTAATGTGCCTTAGCACATTTCCTAAACATGTATTAAATGGATTAATGGTTATGAATCATCATATAATTGAGGTGATAACAGCACTTTCAGATGCATGTGCAAACAGTTTCCACTAGTACTAAAATATACCTTATGCTAACACACTCTATTTTAACAGAATACAAAAGGTACTGTTTGGAAAGCGCCAGTCCATAGACATAAAGCATTCAAATATGATCCTATAAACTGTAACTGGAAAAGAATACTGACACTTTATATAAAAGACTTTGAAGTGACAGAAATGTGTCAGTTATTACACGATAATTCCCACTGCTGTTTAATTTGTTTTCCAGCATTATGTCAGTTATTTCTTTGACTGACCCTTCAAGATTACAAAATGATCAGCTACTTCCTATAACTCTTTCTAAGATTCCTAGTTCTAGTTACTGGACAGGTTGGTTAAAAGCAGAGCAATATAGCCATATCCACACATAAAAGCTAATGTTATATCCAAGGAAATAAAGTCAAGTCTCACTTGAAAATGTGAAGTCATTGAAAGCACAAATATACAGTAAAGCTGGCCATTCATTCAATGTGGACAGACATGCAGACGCAATTCATCTGCCATTTGTTTTAGATAATCACATTAACGTTATCGTTAATGGGAGGGAGGGAAAGCAATGATAATCTGCTGAAAATATACAATATGGAGATCATTATTTCCCCTAAAACACATGATCTGTGTTTTGCCCCGTGGCCATAGACAAGGAGAATATCACACAACGGAAGCGGATTAAGAACTGAGTGCCCCGTACTGGGTGATTTCTGCAAGTGATGGGGCAGATGAAAGTTTAACAACAAATATTAAATGGGTATCACCACTACAAAGCACACAAAATAGCACCATTATACAGCAGAGGGAGTTTATAAGTTGCTGCTTCTTTTGCTCATTTATTAAAACAGGGTCTGCCAGGCTGAGCAGCCCACATGAGTTCACAGCAGCCCACAAATACTTTTGGGCATGCCATACCTTCTGACAAATTCCAGACTCGGCATTCCAGGCCCAATCAATAACTTCAGTAAGAGTTGTGAAGGTGGCCAGCATGGGTATTTATCAATTGCACTCAAAATAGGGAGTTATCCAAACTTATTGTCATGGTATCTTCCTAGTTATGATCATCACATTGGAATAAATGTGGCAACTGTTTCTAATACATGGCAATAGCTACAGCAAATCCTTTCATAAAACGTCCACCACCACATACCCTTTACCATCAATGCAAAAGTTGTCACTGGAAACACACCTCCTAACTCATACTTAGCAAGTTAAACCTATCTTAAGAAAAATACTGCCACTTACCATTCCTTCTAAAATTGCTGTTTGCCTGGCTGTTATGTCGATCTGCCTAGATTCAGCACTTACCTAGAACAAGTACACAGATTAGTAGGTTTAGTGCAAAATGAGAATTCCATATCTGTATCCTTGTTCTGGATCAGTGCCCCAAAGTATCTAAGCAAGAGGGTCAGCATGACAGCCTGACAACTAGCATTTTGACATGGAAAGGTCAGTTCTTGGCTTCAGTGTTTTTCTCATGGCAAGTTTAATGTAATGGAAATGATCCCAATTAATTGCACCTTGTATAAAAAAATGTCATGATTTTACTCAGTGCCAATAATAGGAATAAATATGACAATTTAGATACAGTAACTAGTGTCATAATGAGGTTACTTCTAAACAATATATACTGTACATTGGTTGCATTAAAAATTAAGAAAATGTTCTAATGTTAACTCGCAGGAATTTAGTAGAATTGAATAGAACCCTGAAATAAAAAATCACAAATCTTACCATCTATGGATGATCCTGAAACGACTGTCAGTGCACACAGCCAGGTAAGCAGCAGCGGACACCAGGTCCTACATAACAGTGTCATAATTAAAGGAGATGGTCCTGTGATGTGGTTGGATTGTTGAATACCTGGAGCTCCCTCTCTGCACTCTCGTTGTCTGTCTGTGTAAGGCTCCCTCAGGTGTATTTTATGAGTTTTCTGTAACCTGACTCATTGCAGACACAAAGATCCTCTGTTGTGACTCACCCTCTGAATAACAGCCCAACCCTTCCCTCTTTCTCACATACTAATGCAAGATCCTTGCACATATAGACTACGTAGCTTTGCCACAGAGTTCTTGTTTGGGCAGAGCACTATGTACAGGGTGTCCCAAAACTCTGGATCCATAGGCAAAATGTATTTCATAGTTTTATTACAGTACTAAAAGCTCAAGATGTCGGCTTTGGACTTCGTGACACTTGTGTATAAGCTGAATGCCAAAATGTTGAACATTTCTTATTGTAGCAGAACTCATATTACACTGTCCAGCCCCAAAAAAGTCACCACCTGGACTTAGCTATGCAAATAGGTCAGAGCCTTCCATTGGATAATAGGCCTAGGTTCAGCAACGTTATGTCCCCCCAAAAATTAGGCCAGCTGCCCAGGGCCGGCCTTAGGCCTTTAGGCGCCCTGTGCGAGAAAGCTTTACAGCGCCCCTCAGTGACCACACCCCTCAGTGGCCACACCCTCAGTAACCACACCCATTTATTACCCATATTTTTGGTAAAATATAAAAAGCGCGGTCACGTCGGGTAAATAGACACCAAACATGTCATGCTTTAAAATTGCGCGCACCCGCAAAATCAGCCTACCTGAATATACTGAATGACCGAGTTTTGCCATCAATAGTTTTTTCTTTCCTGATGGCACAGGAAAAAAAGAAATGCAACTCTGGGCGGAAATAAATATTGTATACGTTTATAGAAAAAGTGCCACAATTGATCTGTGCCAAAATAAATAAGGTCCAACAAAATCTTAGCGCGTGTGACTTTTTTTTTGTCCATGGCAACCAATTGCTTTTATCTGTCATTTTCAAAGCTTAACTGAACAAACTAATAAGTTGATGTGCTGCCATGGACAACTGCTTCATATTCTGTCTGCTCCAGTTTTTATACATTTCCCTCAATGTATTTAGGCAACAGACACAGCCCCGCCAAGTCCCAAGGTTACGTGGACCATTAAGAATACCAGAAATGATTGGTTAAACCCAGAATTGTTTTTTTTCACTATCACTGGCTTACCAAATTAACTAACAAGATAATTAAGAGATAAGAAAAAGTGCTGAGTAACACTTTTGGTAGGTAAATAGAAACTTTTCATAGATATCTATACATCAGGCTAAAATGAGGAACAACTGAGGAGGAATGAGGGACAGAGGGATTTAGTTCCAAATGTGGGACATTTGGGAGGCATGTATGATAAGTATACTTACATTGGGCCAAGCTGGATCAATGTAATTATATACACTGCGTGGCCAAAAAAAAGTGACACACTATTTCGTTGGACCGCCTTTAGCTTTGATTATGGCACGCATTCACCATGGCATCGTTTTAATAAGCTTATGCAATGACACAACATTTATTTCTGTCCAAAGTTGCATTAATTTTTCACCAAGATCTTGAAGTGATGATGGGAGAGTCGGACCACTGTGTAAAGACTTCTCCAGCACATGCCAAAGATTCTCAATGGGGTTAAGGTCTGGACTCTGTGGTGGCCAATCCATGTGTGAAAATGATGTCTCATGCTCCCTGAACCACTCTTTCACAATCTGAGCCCGGTGAATCCCGGCATTGTCATCTTGGAATATACCCAATGTGCCATCAGGGAAGAAAAAAAACTATTGATGGAAAAACCTGGTCATTCAATATATTCAGGTAGGCAGCTGACCTTATTTTTTGGGGACATAACGTTGCTGAACCTAGACCTGACAAACCGAAGCAACCCCAGATCATAACAGTGCCCGAAATCCAGGTGGTGACTTTTTTTTGGCCAGGCAGGGTATATTTATACCTGGAGCTAAGCTTTACACTGGGATGTTGTCTTTAACTAACATTTGCCGCTCTCTAGGAACTCAGAATAGAATTGTAGCTGTTTCAAGCAGTAATCTGATTGCTCTATTAGTCAAGATACATTTGTGAGTGATGGAGCTGTGTGGGTTACAGACAGGAAGCCTGTTGTGAATCAGACACCTCAGGTAATGATTGGCGCAGAGGTCAGAGAATGACGCCTGCCTGAGCCACAGAACATGTCTGCAGGGCAGGGAGACTGGGCTGTGGTCAGACACGCCTTCTCTGCGCAGACTGATTCGCCCCAGGTAACACAAAATAAACAAGTCAACAGCAAATGGGAGACAGTTACGAAATAGAATGTACTTTCCCTGCTAGACTCAGCCTGTCGTACAGCAACACGTTAAGGTGCACTGAGATTTACCAGCTATTTAAAAGTAAAAAAAACAAACAAAAACATTAACATTTTTGGTATATTGTTAGGAGTCGCTCACAACATTATCGTCGACTGGTAATTTTAAGCAAGTCTACAACACTAGTCACTGCTAAGGTACAATTGTTTACTATGTGCCCTGTTCACACCACAACGGGTGAGATGCGATCAGTGTGGAGTGCAATAATGGAGACATGCTGCATTTTTCTGCAGCGCACTGGATGGCTCCACAGGTTACCGCACCTGAGAGACCTGGATGGGGTGTTCACTTTATACACTCTAAATAAAGTTATAAAAGAAAAAGGTAAACAGTGTGATGCACTGAAACATCACATTGCACCGCCCCCTGCTGGGCCTTACTCCGCACACTATGCTAAGACCTCATTCACATAGGTGGCAGCATTTGTAAAGTGGTCCACCGAGAATCGCTTTTCAGTGGGTGATGGAGCAGCGGCTGCCAGACACTCAGGAGGTGATACTGCCGCCTTCTGAGTGCAGCTTTTTAAAAATCCCATTGGGAATTTTCTTTTGCAATACCCTTCATTGCAATGATCAAACTTGACAAGTGGCTCCCCCCTGCCAAACCTGTCATGCTCTAAAAACATTTCCGTGCTGTAACGCAAAGCATTGCAGTTGCATCAATGTATACAGCACTGTTCGGCCACAGTGCTGGCACTGCAGCAGGTGACTGGGTCAAAATCAGCCGCCTGGTTTGACCACCCCCTTGCTGCCTGTGTGAATGAGGCCTAAAACTGAGCATTTTACTGTGTGGGAGATCTTCTTATGAGGGAGTTACACTCTCCTTGCTGTATACTTGTATTCATTTTATAATATGAAGAATATAATAGAAGGTGCTATCAAAAAGCAGTGGTGGGTAGGAAAACTCAAACCTCCAAAATGGACAGGGAGGGAGTAGGAAAATTTGGCAGAGAGATCTTGCTGTTGAAGACAAATGATATGTAAGACTCCACCAGGCTTCAGCTATAACTAAAATGTCATTTTCAAAAATATAAACTCCGGAATAAGCAAATATTGTCTAATTACAATTGTCATGTGTATTCTTATTGAATCTTGGTGAGCTTTGTGTATTTCTTCCAGATCTGTGCAGTATTCCAGCGTGAAACTTAGAGCTTCCTGTAATAAAGACCGGTCACTGCTACTCCCTCTTTTTGTGCAGGGTGACTGGTCTTGCCTCCGCCCCCTCCTGTAGTTTTCTGCAGGTAGCCTGCAATGGGTAGAGCATGCAGGCCTTGTACTCTTCCAAGGATCACTCCTCCCGCTCACTGTATCCCTGAGCGCCAACACGCTCACTGCTACTTCTCGTTACCTCTGCCCGGCTCTTGTGTTGTGCAGACAGTGCCTGTCTGGAAAAGATGCTCAGCCCCACCCCAGTGGGGTATAGCGTGCACTGTCGCTGCATGACGGAAGTGTAGAGAGGGCTGCTGGGCAACAGTGTGTAAGTACTATCATGTAAAATATACTCAGCATTGTGAGCTGGCACATGAGCAGTAACATGTAGCAAGGCTTGCGCTGTGATCTTGGGACAAAGCCTGGGACATAGCGGGCACCTGACAAGCAGGATTGCCCCAGTAAATCTGGGACCATTGACAAGTATGATGTATGATCTGATTAAGGAGATGGGACACATTGTACATCAGTCACACCATCAATAATTATCTCATGTGTCTATGTACCATAAAGGGCATCTCTACTCAAAACGTTTTTTTGTTTGTTTGGATAGAGTAAGGAGCAGTTAGAACCTCTGTCAATATTTTTATTGCTGGGTCCCTGCTGGGGGGAAATTTACCCCCTTTATTGATCCTCCTGACAATTGTCTCAGTGACAGGAAGTGATGGAAAATCCAAAATATTTGAGTTGTCACAGGAACGGGAGGTAAGGCAATCTTTCAATGGGTAAACCTGCTCTTGTGACAACTGTATAAAAGGGGATATGTTACTTCCTGCTGTGTGTATGAAATAGGAATTAAGGGGAAAATCTCCCCAAGAGGACACAGACAGAAATGAATAGAGGTCTTAACCATTCCTGATTGTGTCCAAAACAAAAAAAAAAAATGCTCTTACATACACTTTAAAATTTGAATTATAACTGAACCTGTACAATGTGTGAAGACAAATATAATAAGTCCCAATTTATTGCATCAGCGTACATAAAGGCAAAACTATTTTTAATGTTTTGGATCACTAGTGTAAAGAGAGAGGTTAGACCTGTCAAGTTTTCTTTTTTTGCTGGCTAGAGTATTCCTTTCTATTTGTCCTGGTGACCCTTGGTAACCTAGACATAAAGTAAGGGGAGATACAATGGGGGCTAATATTCTGGAGACAACCATCTAATGCAGAAAATGTCTCACTTTGGCGCATTTTATCTTTATAGCAACTTCAGGACAGGACAAAGCTCTCCAGCGAGACAGACACAGCAAAAAGTAGAGGTTTTACCATTCTCTACTCTTCCAACGGCTAGTTGGTGAGTCAACCCTCCACCATTTGTCCACAACTTGAATATCAGCTTATGGTTGATTCACCTTATAACGATAAAGGATATAGTTGCCAATAAACTCAAATATAGGTTTTTGGTTGACTCCCCGGGCTCATACACTCTGCCAATTAAGACCGTACCCTGCTAAGAATCAGAATAAATCTGCTACAGTTATGAACAGATGTCTGAGATCAGGGCCGGCCAGCA